ATGTGCATTGAGTTAAAACACTGGAGTTTTTCACCACCAAGGGAATTGGTGTGTTTTTATTTACCCTATCCACATTCTATATTGCAGGTCATGCAGGTGTACTATTGCTTAAGAGATGTGCATACATATGACCTCCTTGGCTGAAATCACATGGTGAAGAACACGATGAAATAACCTGTATGTACCATGTGAAAGGTTATACTTCATTAAATATGCATGGACATAAATTATGGATCTCCAGCTTGTATGTCTGGTAGATTCATTAAACTTTCAACACCGGCTAAAGTAATTGTCCCGAAATAGTGACAAGATTGCATGAGATGATAGAAAGTAAACACAGGCTTCTGGCGTAGGGCACATGTCATTAGGGAATAGCACAATAGCATTTGCAAGGTCCAGAAGATGAGCTGTCTAGATAAAATTGATTTTCAGCGATAACTTGATGCCAACTGCTGTTTAGGCTACCTGTCATTCATCCTTTTCTTGAATATAATCTGAACGCATGTCAGTCTTATTTTGATCTTTCCATATATTTTTACTTCTACAGAATCATTTGCATTTCAAAACTGGAAAAGTCCAGCTATTTTCATATAAGCAGCTTAGCTACATTGCAAATCTCTTCGTTTGCGAGTTTAGTTTTTCAAAGGCATTCTAATTATTATATTCTTCAGGCAAAATCGCTATTATAGTTTAATTAGCTATATTTCTACGATTTCAAAAATTGGAATCTTGATTACCAGATTATTCTTGCTTTGATAGCAAACCATAGAAGAACACAAAAACAGCAATTAATTCCTGTCCACACAAATCAGTAGAGCATTGTTTAACCAGCTTGCTGATGGCGAATCATATACTGAAGGCCGCAAAATTAGGTTTCTTGTACAAACATGTTCATACATACGAAACTTAGTAGTTTGCTGGTGGCTGTTTCAGATTGAGCATGTTATGATAATTTACGTAACGTATTTGAATATTAAAAATTTTCCAGAATTTTTTTAAAAAGCAGCTAAGAAAGATATCAACCATAAGAGCTCAAATTGTTTATAACTAAATTGGATTCAAAGTGGCTCTTAATGACCTACAACTAAACCAACAGCAGAATTTTGTTCCAAAATATGTTTTATTATTACTGCCAATAAATTTTGTCTTTATCATTTTTTAATAACTCCAACATTCTACAGAACTCCATCAAGAATTAGCCTGGTTTCTATATATGTAGATGCATATTTAGATTTCTGCTTTAAATCAAGATGTTTTTGTTTATTTATTGGAAATTCGCAGGGAAGCATATAGAATGAATTCTCATTGGTACATCTAGTAGAAGCTAGTAGGGTTTCTATCATTAAACAGAGTTAATTTTAACATTTGTAAAGAGCTTTTCTCAAACGCTTGTTATTTTTATTTTTGAAGGGGGTTATTTCGTTATTCATACAGATTACTGATCGAATTTTTAGTACTCGTAATTCGTTAGATGTTAAATATAAATTAATGACAAACGTAATACGTGTATACATATAAAGTTTTTCTTCGTTACAAATGTGATATCAGAGCTGTACAACCGGAGTGCAATATTATATGATTTCAAGACATTGCGAGTTTTAATGCAAAAATATGAATTAAAGAGCTATATATGTACATACAAACGAATTGGCTAAATGCAAATTATTTTAGATACCTGTAGAGATAAAGTTTAGAATATAACTTACACACCTTTACGCATTCCTTGGCGCAAAATCATGAGCTCTTGCTGCAGTGGCCAACTCGATAAAAACACGTGCTATCTTCTTCCAGGTTGTTTGTGTATGGGGAAGATGAGATGTAAAATCCTTCAATACTAAATCTACAGCTGGTATGGGCTATTGTATTCTCACCCGTATGAGATTGTGAGTCAAGAGTTTCACGGGGGTCAGATGTGAGCAGAATACTTTGCCACGAATGTACAAACAAGTGATATACGCTAAAATGAGATTGTTTGATCATATTGTCATTATACTCAATGCTTCATCTAAATAGTTAAGCTACTTTTAAATATTTATTCATCTTTGAAATTAGAAAGATGCTATAGCTAACTAGAAATAAGAAACAACAAATGACAAAAAACATTTGTAATAGATTCTCTGTTTTACTGTGCAAAAACGAACATTAGGTTAACTTTATGAAATATTATCTTGTTACATGCATATTATTTTTATCACTTTATCAATAACTATATCGATCATGTAGGCACTCACAATATAAGCAAAGCGTACAAGCGTACATTATTTCGTTCCAGTGTAGGCCAAGATTTGCCCATTCATATATCAATTTTAGTTGTTTTCTAAGCAAAAGTTCAATTAATCACGAAGCGCCAATCAAAGAAAAACAATGCACTCAAAAGATTTACGAGTCAAATTGGACAGCTCAAAATCAAGTTGTGCAAATTCAATGAACGTTTCTGATTGAAGAAAAAAATGGATAGATAAAGTCATCGAAGTTTTGATAAAGTCATCAAAGAAAAATGAATTAGCACAATTATATAGATACTTGGGGCAAGGAAGTAGTCGCCAATCTTTCGCGCTTAATGAAAACCAGCACATGTACCAGTAATATATTTTTCAAATCCTTGGATGTCATTATCTGCAACTGGCTGCCTCGATACTCCAAATGTTTCCATGGATATCGATTTGGAATAGAAAAATGTCTAACGATTATTTAGAAAAGCGAGTGAATGAATCACAATAGGATGATGTGTCTTTGAAAACGGAAGTCGAGTATCATCCTTTTTAAGATGGTTCTTCTTAAACCCTTTCACTTGTTACGAAAGAATAATTTTGATCAGTGAAGAACCATTAGTGGTAAATCTTATATGATATTCCAACTCACAAAGCTATGACTCTAGATAAATTCATTATTTAACCAAAGAGTACATTAAAGAAATAAATTTTGCTGTAAAAGCTAATCAATTCATATTTCCAACCATATTGACTCAAAAACAATAAAACTAGATTCAATATAGGTATGTGTAAAGCTTGTTGATCGTGCTAATTCGATGATTCCCTTTGTTCTAGATGTGATTTAAAGCCTGATTAATCAAAACGTTGTCAAAAGCTGGACACAAGTTTTTGAAGCTGTCTTCTCGTTACTGTATTATTCTTGATGCTTGGTGCTAGATATGAGCTGAAACGTGGCTTGATTTTCTTTAACATAAATTTAGCGCAGCATTTAGTTTTTCTTATTATTACCCTCATACTATTGCCAGAAGCATATTACACAAAAGTTTTATCAAGACTCACGCTGTAAGTCTAGAGTCTCTAAGCTTTATGATTTATGTTACTTCAATTCATTTGACAATATTAGTTGAAAAATATTTGAATACATTTCAAGGTGCGACTTTTCTACTGAAAGAATGAAGTGGTAAATCTTAATGCAGAATGGAAAAGTTTTTTTCAGGCTGATAACTGTCATAATTTTATCCTACACCTGATAAAAGATGGAAAACAAAAATAATGTCAAATATGCATATGTCAAGGCTTTAAAAACGTTTGAGCAGAATATGAAGTGAAACGTTAATCTGAAATTTTAGACAAACTATGAAGCAAAGACAAAATGATGGGTTCATTTGTAACACAACCAAATAAAGACTGATTGAAAAAACTGGTCCTTGTTATGGATACTTAGCCCCCCTGCTTGTTAAAATCTGAAGGCTCAGACTGCAGGCCAGGATTAGCAAATTCAGCTGCTGATTTTCACTCGCTATTTGCAGCCACCTGCCTATTCCAAATCATTGCAGCTGTACAATGCAGCAAACATCGAGCCATAATCAGGGATCGCTAAAGGCAAGCACGGCATCCTGGTATTAAATTGCCGAACAATACATTATTTGATCTGTAACTTGGCTACAGACATGTTCATCACCAATTTATTTAAACAGCATGCAAAAAAAAGGAATCATCAATTTCGAAAGTGTTTGACAAAATAGTCAGTGAATAGGAGAAGAGTTGTCCCTGCAGCTTTGCTAAAAACACTTCCAATAATCCTAAATTGATTTTGTTATAAGTTGCAATATTTTTAATTTGCAATAGTGAGATTTCATACTCAAAATCACATATCATAAAATGCAAAGAGCTCGGAATGCAAATAAGATTATTTTTTTTTGTATATCCAGTGCAGCAAGAAGTCGTTGTCTGCCAGGAAATACTCAATAGGAGATCAAATTTTAATCAAGTGGTGCTTCTTCTTTGCATGTGTAAACCTAGAAGCATATCCATACGACTGTCATCTTTTTCAAAAGCACAAGAACGGGACGTCATCACACGTTACATTCCGTCTTCAAAGGGTTCAATTGTTGGGAATTTTCAAGGTTCCTAATCGAAATGCTTGAAAAGGCAGTTCTGGAATGTAATTGAAAAGATGGCTACTGTAGCAAATTGTTTTGTTTTGATAAAGTGCAATTTTGCCTGAGAATATTCTCAAGACATTAATGGAAAACCCTTGATAATGGCATGAAGGTCGACTGCAAACCTAAAACAGTGGTTCCAAAATTTAAATATTGGATCGCCCATTTTCATTTAAAAGGCTTTGAGTTTTGGTCTCTTTTTGATTCTTTCTCTGTTCTTCATTTACGTTTCTTTCAGAAATTAGATATCAAGGCAATAGGATACTTGTTCTTTAAAAAATCGTGAAATTCTATGACTTTAATTTGATAAAATTTGTCACTTGCAAAAATCTAATAATCATTAGCATTCTTGATGCAAGTTTAGACAAAGGACAAGAAGTGAGAAACACGTTAGATGATAGTCCACTCTTTCTCGAAATATCGTCACGATTCATTGAATCAAGAGAGAACCTGCTTGGATAGGTAAACATTATCATATGGAGTTGTTAATTTTTTAATAGCCTCTAGATTAAGGTCCACCTGCACAAAATATAAAATATGCATGCACGTGCTTACCTCTTTATCAAAGAAAACATATCGCTCTTTGAACCACGGATTAATTTGCACGAAACGCTGAAATCGAAAAGACATACATGCTTAAATAATTCACACAGTCCTTGATAGGGAAACCAAAATGCAAAGAAAAATTCGAGAGATGACTAGAGTCGAAATCCTTTCGAATTAATCGTCTCAGCTGAGTGAAAAATTTACCTGACACTTTTTCACACAGATTATTGCTGTAATTTGTGAAGGTGACACAAATAAACTTAAAAGAAGCTTTAAATTTATCCTGAAAATGCAGAAAAACTTTTTCCTAGTGGATTATAAAAAGGCAAGTGCTTTTGAACGGGAAAATATTTCTGTTTTCCAAAGAAATTATCGTTGCAAAGTGAAGGTAGGAAAAAATCAACTAGAATTGAATTCTCTAGAGCCGATCTGAATTTCGCCTCGCAGGGAACCGTTCTTAGAAATCACCTTGACGACAGATCTATATTTAAACCTAATTTTGTAAATGTTTTTCTCGACATCGAAATATTAGTAGATCATCTACATCAATGTGATTTTATCTCTAAGTTAGCAGTCATAGATAAAAGTGGAAGCTGAAAATTGTTCTTAAATTGTCCAAGAAAAGCAAGTAGATAATACATCGAATCGTAGTTTATCATGAATCATAGTTTGCATGACCATACCTTGATAACGTGATGTTTAAACAGCTTATCAAGCATAGTCATGCCGCACAGTACTGGTACCTCGCGTTCCACTGCGCATTACAAATGGACAACTCTAGCTGTAGGAGACTGCACAGGAGCCGAAAGTGGTTTGACAAGATACAGTCTTTGTGTCTAGAGCATTATGCATATATTACCAGCTAGCTTCCTAATAGCTCTTTAATATTGCATCAAACTTGAGAGTTGTACAGTCAGAAACTGTACAGATGTCAAATCGATGTAACGCATAACAATTTATGGAATGCGGGTGTTTTGATGTTCTAAAGAAAGGAGAGGGAAGCAGCCACAATCGAGCCAAAAGCCACGATCTGCAGGCAAAATAAATGCTAAAAAATTTGCTATCTCAAATACAACAGGGATCATTATTAATATCTGCAGCTGATGGAAAATAGAACTAGTTACCAACCCCTTCTTTTTAATGGAAAGCTTCTCTGTAAAAATGTACTAGTAAAGGATCTTCACGGCTAAGAAACTTTACTAGCGAGGTGTTAAAACTCCCAGAAATTTTATATATTTTTTGAGCCACTGTAGTGATTCCATTCATTCTAATTTTTCCTCACCTATCGCCATCCATTTTTACTTTGTTTATTTTACCTACAGTAATTTCTTCACATCACTACCTCATCACTACACTCTACGAGCATATCACTATGTCAACATTTCCTCTCTTTTGTTTAGGCCATCATCAACCCTGCACATCTACCTAAATCTCAATTCATAAACTATTCACACTTAGCCTAGCCCTTCCTATCCTTTGTTTTCCTTACATCATTCGCGTTAATTTTAGATATTCATTTCTGTATATAAGCATGTTAATTTTTATGTAAGTCAGTTCAGTTCAGTTCAGTTCAGTTCAGTTCAGTTCAGTTCAGTTCACATCAGAGTTACACAGGCAACACACTGTCTCTCTCACTGGCTCCGTGTTCTCTGCACGTAAAATAAGACTCGCTGGGTTTGGAAATGACACGTTAGTCAAGGATGGTTTTATTAGTGAACGAATCGCACATAACAAGGCTCAATCTCGTTACACCACCTCCTTTGTGTCAGCCAAAAATTACTAATGCAACGCTAGAACCTGGACTTTTCATCTAAAAACAGAGCTACCTTTCAAACAGGGAACAGAGAGTTAAGATAGGTTGTACTTTGGCTAGTAGATCTGCATAGTATCTGGTGTTCTTCAATCTTCAGTTCTTGGGCTCTTTATGTTCAATTTGTTCATTACTGAGTTTGTGTACACCCAAGGAAATTTAAAAGATATTTTCTTGACGTAAACGTTATAGTCAATCTGGACACAGCAAAGCTTTTCAGAGTTATCATAGATTCAAATTTGAGACAATCTAGCACACGATTTTCCCGGTCCATAAAAATTCCCGCCAGCCCCTGAAAGGAGTTCATTTTGACCTTAGGACTCCATTGATAACATTTTCAATAGGCAAGCGGCACTGATTGGGCAACTTCAACAGTCATGTGCTCGTGTTTCTGATTGGCCTATTTCGATCCATAACTTGGTATATAAATTTCCTAGCATAGTGTCTTGTTATATTTTCTGACGTTCTGACTTCACTTTATTTCCTTATGATCTTATGATTAATGGTAAGAATGGCTCTGACTAAGCCTTGAGGCTGAAACAGAAAAAAGTATTTATCAGTGATTCAGCATAATCCTGTCCAAATTGAATTAGACTTAACCTTACAAGTCCTTAAATTTATGCAGTGTTAATTTCTCTCTCGCAGCACCCTTAAATCACCTTCTAGAAAACAATGGAGGGTATCTCCCATTTTAAATTTATCCAGTTCTTCCACTTTGCAAAAACAGAACTTGCTTATTTTATTCCTTCGTTTTTTTGACATAGTTAATAAGTGTCTTTTTCAAAATACAACATCAACGTCAGTGTTTTTGTCTATAATGATTTATCTTACATCGATACTAATGATATCTTACAAATATTTTTGTTATTCTTATAATTTTCTTCTTTTTCTATTTCAATTTTCCTTTCCAATTTTTTCCTTTACAAAGCTCGAATAGAAAGAAATTTTCTTCCTAGTGGAAGTACTGCATTTACCACAATACCAAGAGGTTTCAAATGCTGTAAAATATAATAACAAAGAACGTTTAATCTACAACTTACCATCACATGGTGGCACAATATCAAACTTACTAGATTTGTTTTCTCTAAGAAACCAGTTATGAAAGTTTTTGTGCAGTTCTAAAGAAAAATCTGTGCAGTTCTAAAATTCTACTCAATAACCATGAAATTAAGGAAATTTTAGCAGAGAAAAAGCAAACAAATTTTAAATGATGAAACACAACAAAGATAATAAAGATGGCGCTAAGATTAAACAAAGATTTATTAGGATATAGAAATTATAGATATGGAAAGATATTCAATGCTGAGGAAATGTAATTTTTACGAAACATAATAGTCGCTATATCTTGTTAGAGCCAAACACACACGAAGAGTGAAATTGATTGTTTCAAGCAGGACCTTGTTTAATCAGGGAACATATAAAATTCAGAGAAAAAATAAATCATGTTACCAGTTTCGAATTTAAAATTTGCAGTGGTATGGTCAAACAAACAGACCGACAACTGAATCAGAGACAGTTTAAAATTTACTTCTCAAGCTGCTGTGCAATTGCTATTTATATCTTGCTTTATCGTCATCAGTTTTCCCCTTCTAATTGGCATAGTTTGAAAAAAGACGATACTTAAGTTTTTAAATATTTTATATTACATCGCTATTGAATGTCGCTCCAGAATTACAATATTGCAGGATTCTATATAGTTGACTATAGTTGATAAATCTCAGAACATGGTTGGCTACAACAAAAATTAAATACAAATTAGCAGTTGATAAAAGGAAAAGCAGATAGTCAATATGAAATAGGTTAGGCCTAGTAAGAAATACACGAACAAGTTAAAGTAGTAGAATAAACTGAACAAAGCGAATATCTTATGAAAAAACGAAAGCTAATATAATTAAGAACAATAAATTACTTACAATCTATTTGCCTCCAAAACTATAGTTGCAAGGCATGACCAACTATATTATGTACACGTGCCCCCACTAAATAAGTCTTCCGCTTTGAAGCAACATCCTCCGTGTCTTTTTACTTTAACCTCTTCATGACTTTGCTTCAGGGATATATCCATGGATATACCAGAATATAACGCCCGAAAAACGTGTGCACAGCATATATAGTTATGGAGACTGGGTTTCGAGATAATTTTACAAACAAAGCAATTAACAAAGCAACAAACGGTTAGAGGTAAATGTTAGTCAATGCGTGCTTAAATTGAAAGGAAACAAAGAGAGTCTTGCAGAAATTAAAATGTGCATGTTGCAGATGATGGAAGCATGTGAATACTCAGAAATTTTACCGAAGTTCTTTGATTCTCAGTTATATACTACAAAAGTGTGATACATAGATGGGCAAAATACTGGATGTCTTGATGCAAAGTAACGCAACGGAAGGTAGGCAAAATTCCCTATTTTGAAATAAACGGAACAGCGCTTGAACTCTACCACTTTTGCAAAAGAGAAGTGAAAAGATAAAACAAGATTTACAATATTTTAAATGAATTTTCATTGTCTATTAATGAGAAAAGCACTGGTCTAAAAAATTATTCTTGGATATTTCCTCCAAAATCATTTTCAGACATTCCCTCGAAACTAATTCTCGGACATTCCCTTGAAAATCATTCTTGAGCTTTCCTTACAAAATCATTTTCAGACATTTCCTCCAAAACGATTCTCGGACATTCCCTCAGAAATCATTCTATAACATTCCAACAAAAGTTATTCTTGGACGTTCACTCGAAAATCATTCTTGGACATTCCCTCAAAAATCTTTCTTGGAAATTCCCTAAAAATTGATTCTTCAACACTTACCCAAAAATATTTTTGGGCATTTCCTCAAAAATTGCTATTGCATATTCCTGAAAAATCATTCTTCAATATTTACTCAGGAATCATTCTTAGGTATTTGCTCAAAAATCATTATTGGACATTCCCTCAAAAAATATTCTTGGCAAACTTTTCCTAAGATGATAAACTGCAGACATGTTAAAATATCGTACCGGAAAACACTCAAAGAAAGCATGTCCAAAATATTTTATGCATTTTCCATTCTGGTTATATGTAGTAATTTTTTATCTGAATTGGCCATCTGTCATATTAAGAAAAACTGAAAAGTTATATTGAACCAAAACGGCTCAATCCTTTTTACCTGGATTACCTTTTTACCACTCGTAAGGCTAAGGGATTGCTTAAGGGGAGGGGAAAACACCGAAACTGCCAATAATATGCCCCCCCCCCTGATAAATCGTATTGGGAGGACCCTTATCGATGTACTTTGTCAAAAAACAATGTGCCAAAAATACTGACTGACTCGATCTAAAGACAAGTGGCATTTATGCAATATTACGAAATTTTCCAATGAAATGGGGAACTTCAGTGACCAAGCGGAACTTTCATTCTCAGAATGATTGTGCCTCACGAGATGCTTATGACTCATATTTAAGTGGAAAGCCTCTATTGACCTGCTTACGAGTGGACAGAAGAGATTCAATTCATTAGCTATACTGTATTAATGTTTGCAAGCAAATTCCTAAGTTGAATTTTAAGCTCAAATTCTTCGATTGATCGATCGATTTTCAATACATTTTGCAGTAGATGCATCCGTTTTTTAATTTTATTTTGAATTATCTCTTCATTGTCCCCTCTTTTTAATTTTCTCCTCTGTTTTGCTTCATCTACTGTTCCCTTGATACTATAAGGAAAACAAATCTGACACGTTGCTTGTAACAATATTGGTTTAAAGAAATGAAAATGGAGCAATGATAGCATTGACATCATTGAGCCAAAGTTTACTGTGGTTTACAGATCTCACGTTAACAATGCAATGAACAATGAACATTTACACTCTTATGAAAATGAACAGTGACAATGAAAATTGCACCTATCTTCATCTAAAACACTTTAATGAAAGAAAACCTAACTTCCATCACTAAATCATAAAAGGCCTTGTGTCATAAACAATTCACATAACTGACCGTTGGTTTGGTTTGGTTTTATGCAATTTCCAGAAAACAAACTTCTTCACAAATTCTGCACATGAAGAAAGCTTATTTCTGAATTAAATTAAAAAAGACAGCAAGAACGAATCAGAGTAAATGAGCTTGCAAGGCAGTAGTTCTAATTAATTGAGAATGCAAGATATGCTGTCATTAAATAACAGAAAACAACCATATGTATACTTCACTCTCGTGAAAGAACTACTTTTACCCAGTGGTGGCGCCAGGGGAGGGCTAGGGGGGGCTACAGCCCCTCTGTCAAATGCATCTAGCCCCGCCCCCCATCGGAGGAAAATTTAGGTTATTGTCGGAGCAAATTTGACAAAATAACGTACGAAAACTGCTTATTTTAGTCATTTTAGCCCCCCTGTCGGAAGCTCCAGCCCCTCTGTCGGTAGATTTCTGGCGCCACCTCTGCTTCTACCTGTGTCGTAAGTATGAATTTGTATACACTATAGATGACACACGATGACACGACACACAATGACCTTATTTTTCTCTGACATTCTAAACTTTGAGAGCTAGAGATATACCTTATCATCATCCCTTTTCTTTTAAAAATTCTGCAACAAGCTCAGAAAAACCCGTAGCAAGCTTTAAATAGGAACGTCTATGCCAATTTGGGACCACTGCTTTTGACACAAACTTTGATCACATAAGGACTTTCTTGTTTACCTAGAATACATATGTTCAGAAAGCTTACCACTGAGACTTACTGCTTTGAAGAGAAAGAAGAACTGTTTTTGGGTATTAGGAAATTTGTATAATTCTTAGTAAATGGACAGGGAATATTTATCTATTTCCCTTCAAGTTAGATAACAATAAACGACAAAATCAGTTCGGCTCTACATTCCGAAGAGTTAAACCTGTTTGTAGATGCTGTAGCTGTTCATAAAGCAACGTTATACATATCCATCCAATCCTTGAAATAATATTTCATTTTATTTGTTTCTGACTTTATTTTGTAACTATTTGCTATCCCATGAAAATTCTAACCAAAATATAGACAGCCTGACAAAATACATTCTTAAGTGTTATATCGAAAGTGTTTTATTTGAACCAGATAACCGGAGGAACCCTATCAAGACCTTGTAGTTACATGTGCTATTGCTGCTTTAGCCTGGTTGATAGATTTTATAACGAAGAATCAAATATTGTGATTTAATGAGGGAAAAGCCGTATAGCAGGGAGTTGTAACCAATTTAAAACATTTTGCACAATATAAGGTATATTATAAAGCTTTTCAAGTAATGCTGTTCTATATTCTGTGACATCAGACAGACCTAGGTGAAGCATTTGCCCCTTTCTAAAATCATCTAAAGCAACAGGTGATTTTCCAGCTAGACGTAATTTCTTATTACTTTATTCACCAAACAATAGTGTTTGCAACAAAGGAAGTTTTTAGAAATAACTACCCTTCTACTTTATTCGCAACATGATCCACCAAATTGTTCTAGACATGTATAAAAGTAAATTAGGTAGAGGCGGTTCATATTCTTAAACCCTTTTTAATCTATAATATTGTTAATGACATTAGCAGCTTGCCGACAACGGCACAGGAATACCGAGGTACCCCTCATTAGCAACGCTGCGCTCTTCTTATGTATGCATTATTATATGTACTGCAAAAAATGTTTTAATTTGAGGAACACAGCAACGACAAAAATGAACGATTGCTGTTTGGTGGAATTTTCATTACCATAAAAATACACTTTACGTTTAGGCTATTTTCTCTTTTACTACTTCACGGCAAGAGCTAAGGTTACAAAAGTAGGTGCGCGTTTAGTTTGACTATAAATATAAATACAATTTAATTACTACATCCACTACTTTTTTACGTATTAATCATGCATGACTCTGTGGGAGACTACATAGATCCACTCGAGGAGAAAGGGGGGTCTGGGATTTGATAAAACAACGAATTGTACAAAGTGTGAATAGTGTTGGGGAGGGGGAGGGAGGGGGAGGGAGAGAGAAGTGTGTTATTCGAAAAGGTCTTTTCAGGCAACTAGCGTGTCATAACCAATTACGATCATACCATAATATCAGTGGATATGTGGCCGAAGGGGAGCGGGGTACCAGGGGGCCATCAATTGTTAACTTATCAGATTGGTTGGAAGAAAGTTAAGATGAAATATTTTGAAGCAATATGTTTAAGAAAAAGTTTACATTTGTGGACTGTTTCGTGTTTACTTATGATACAGTATGTTCGGTCACTACGCCCCCCCCTAAAATTCGATCACTACGCCCCCCTAAAACTCGGTCAGTACGACGACCCTACCAAAAAACCGGAAATATACAAGTGCATACAGATATGACCCTCTTCTATGGCAAACGAACAACATGTCAATACAGATACAGTTAACTCTGCCTAATTTGAACTCGTGTAATTCGAATAAAACTCTCGTGTAATTCGAATAAAGTTCTCAGGTCCCTTGAAAAACCTTTACAATTCAAATCTCTGAAAATCTAACATTTTGTCATTCAAACATTTCTACAATCCCCTAAGAGTTCAAATTACACAGCTTTGACTCTAGCGAAGCGGAAAATGCCAGTCTGCCTCACAACGTAATTGTCATATGATCATCATTATTAGTTTTTGAATTAACAATCACAGTGTTCTACTCAAACCATACTTTCTATGTTTTGTCTCTTTTCCTTTTTTACTGTGTAGATACGATAATTGAACTTTGTTAAATTGTACACATTAACAAGCTGTGAATGAATGAGATATCGTGGAAAGTTTGTCCGAAAGTGACCATAATACACTTGATACACGCTAATACCATTCGGTTCAGATTGTTCGTCGACCTTTCACAAGCAAGGACCATTGTTCTTTGGTCTGAGGAAAATAAGTGTGACTAGCATGGCTAGGAGCCATTTCATACATCAAGAGCTTGCATCATAAATATGTTGTCGACTTCAGGTAAATCAGCAAGAGAGATGTCCTCAAAATCATTGCATTTGTGGTTGCAGAATTTTGTATCAAACAATTCTTTCAGGAATTTCAATTCCCTATTTAGCACCTCTAATTGATTTGTCAGTTCCATATTCTCCTTTTTAAGCATTGCAACACGCTCCTTAGTTTCTTCAATCTTTTTCTTTGACTTTTCACGACTTTTTCGTACAGCAATATTGTTTTTGACTCTTGACTTTCTGTAATCTTCCTCTGTCGGTCTCCTGGAATCCTTCATCTTATCTTCTTTGTACTGAAGTACTGTTATAAAACTGCTCTCTGTTGTCAAAACTGTGGTCCTCTCCTCGACAAGAGCAGCTTTATATGTAGTAAATTTTCTGGACCCTGGCGAAAAAATTTCAGATTACTATCACATGACAGAATCTCTTGTCCAATCAGAATTACACAATGACGCTGTAATCGTTGCATCATGTAGCATGTGACAGATATTCTAGGAAGGTGATGTCATTATAGCCTCTATTTGGTTAAAAACAATCATGGCGGATCATTCGATGCATGAGACAGCAGAAAATTCGTTCGAGAATATTCTGGAGAAAGAAAGCCAGCCCTCAAAAGATGAGCATGTATTCGATTTTGTTGATGTCGTTAATGGATTTTCAAAACTTTTTACGGTTAACCCATCGTATCAGGTGCGTGTTTATCTTTCATCTATCACTGATACTGAAAAGGTTGGGTTCTAACCGATTTGGCCTGTCCGAACCTGCCCTTACGTATGTTGCTATTTTTAGGTGTGTGGAAGGAATTTCAGACGTCGGCATTTTTTCATTGTTTGAGAAAACAATACTTTTATTTAGTTGTAGGAAAATTATGAAAGCAAACAAATGAGATTATTCATTATTGACGGTGACTAACGACTTTTTTAGGAGTTAGATTATTTTTGACGACTCGGATTTTTATATTTTTTATATCAAAAAGGCCCGTCAGAACCGGGGGCTGGAGCCCCCCAATAATTGTCAAACTGTAGTCCCCCCAATATAAATTTTGTTCCGACGGCACTGTCAAATAATGTTTATGTATTCTAAAATTGTTAAAGAAAAAAGAAGGATTGAAGTTAAAACATAAACTAATGATAGTAACAACTATTTTTAACAGCTATTTTTCCTGTGGAAGAATTGATGGTGCAGGGTACGCCCCAATTTGAAATTCAGATTTAAGACAATTAAGCGCGTACAATCACCCAAAACAATAATACGAGTGTTTCTCAACAAAATGATATAACAATCAAAGGTTTTTCATTTAAAGTTTATCTAGTGCATAATGTAAACAACTTTTTGGGAAATATTCCCCTGGTTTTTTGGGGGAAGGGCCTTCCATATGGCCCCTGCTATTTTATTTCTATGAAAAAGAGTTTATGCCATTCCGGGGGGTACTACCATTAAGGGTCATTTAGGCCTGACAGGGATGTCCAGTCAATTTCAGGGTCTTACCAAATGGCCCAGTTCCGATAAAAACACTACCAATTGGGGGGTATTTCAAGTAGTTGCTACCTCTAAGGGGGAACTATTAATCAGCTGCTTAGTTTAGTTTCTGATTTATTATGAAAAATGAACAAGATCTTATCTTCCTAAAATTGACGACAGGCAATGGAGAAGAAATTCGTCAAAGTAGGACCAGGTGAGCACAAAAAATGGATGCTACCAAGTGCACAATTGCTTCTGCCACCATTTGAGGGTTATTGTCACAAAAGACTACCATTAAAAGATAATTTTTCAACACTTGAGCTTTGGCTCTCTTTGACCCTGATTGGACCCCCCTGTCAGGCCTCAATGGGAGTACCCACCTTGGATGCCATTATTGTTCAGTGTTATCTTGTTGGTCTACCTTATTTAACTGAATTTGCTATTGGTGAAATTAACAAAAGATTATGACACTACTGTGGATTTTGCCCCAAGGCAAAGTGCAAAGTGGTGCTAAGATTCCATGCTTTAGTAGACCATTAGTTCTCAGGGGTGTTGTGGGTAGTGATTTAGGAGGGGCATAGCTTGCAAATTTTTACGACAACAGGTTTAAATTAAAAGAATGACATCGTTAAGCGCATGCACACTCTGTTTTTTAAATGCAGAAAGACATGGCAAACAAAATGTATCTTTTGCAGAATCACATTTACTGATATCAAAGAAAAGCTAGTTGGTCAGATAAAAGCCAGCATCCGTATTCAAACAATGGATGAACAGTAAAACTCCTAATAGGACTCATAATTCATATCTTCAGATCTTAAAGAACAACTAGACAATTTTCAGTGCCTGAGAAGTCTCCTTAGCAATAATGTGTCAGCAACTTTGCTGAATACTTCATCATAACTTGGTGACAAATAAGTCAAGCTCAATATTCATTTAACCTCTCTTGGCCCATTGTTGGTTGCAACCTTTTGTTTTGCACACTCGAGCTTCAAAAGGGTGCACACAATTTAGTAATACCCATTAGCAAGCTTGCCATTTCCTGTACAAACATACAGATATGGATAGGCAGACTGTAAAATAATTAACCAGAAGTTTTATTGTCTTAATATAGAAAACTTGTCCTTGAAAGTGGCTTTGAAAAAGCAAACATTTTGCAACATATTGATTAAAAGCTTTTTTCGTCTGACACTTCTCAGAGCATAAATTGTCAGAATGAAGGTCTGAAAGAACACAATGAAAAATATACCAGTTGTGGATCGAAATAGGCCAATCTGAAAAACGCAACCCCAAACCGTGTCTGTATGCTGATGACCAATCAGTTGACCAATCAGTGCTGCGAGCCTATAGAAAAATTACCACTGGAGTCCAAGAGAGAAAATGAACTCCTTTTGTCTACACAATGGCAGCTTTTTTGTTTGTATGTATGTAGATCGATTCCAAAACTGCTAGATGGAAGGACAACAGGGCTCTGCTAATTATCAGAAACATGTCGTCATTAAAGAGTTTAGCACAATCTGGGTTGTCTTTAAAAGATGTTGACCGATGGCAGAATCACTTGATTTAACAGTGTTTCTAGACCTACAAGATCAAGGAGGCAGTTCTCTTTGAGGGACAGTTTTGTTTCTTATGTTGGAAGGAACATGCTGTTTTATCCTATCCCCCAATCTTTGGGTTGTGCGTCCTACGTAGCCAGAATCACACTGGCACATAAATTCATAACTTTTTTGGTTGGTAGGAACGCAATCCTTTTGAATGGATGGAAGGGCTCTCCTACTGTAAACAATAGGAGGATTGACAGCAAAGAAACATTTTGTGATGGATTGCCTAATCTGACTCTTGAATCGCAAGGGAGTGCAAGGAAGTTCAAATAAACTGGGCACTTTTGCAGCCCAAACTTTTGAACGGCCAAAAAACTTGATAAAATGACATCTTCTGGATAGCCGTTGTCCAGAAAGATCGTTTCAAGTTTTTCCAGTTCAGCATGCAGTTTAGATTCAGTGCAATTTAGATTTCGAGCAGATCATCAGCGCCCTATGTACTAAAGTTTGACAAGGTTGACTTTGCCTTGTTTTTGACAAAATGAATTTCAGCATATGTACTGATGGTAAAAGTAGGCTTGCAGTATACACTGGTAAGAAATACAGTGATAGACTCTTCGACCAAAACGTCTAAAAATGGCAAGAAATCATTTTCTTCCTTTTCAAACGTAAACTGGAAGGCTGGATGTAGGCTACTAAGGTGTTTTAGAAAAACATCACACTCAGCCTCTGTTTTGAAAATGGTATATGTGTCATCCACACATCGAAAAAAGACACCTGGCTTTGGTTGTTGTCTAACAAACTCTCTTCATGAAAGCCAACACAGATGTTGTCCAATGCAGGTCCCAGAGGGCTACCCATAGCGACACCATCCTTTTGTTGGTACATTTCATTGTTAAAACTGAATTCAACTGAACGTGTTGCAGTCTCCATCAGTTAAATGAATACTTCCTCTGGGAATGGCGGGCTATTAAGCTCGCTCTGGTACAAATCATCAGCACATATTTTGATGGTCTCACTCAAAGGGACATTTGTGAAAAGACTACTATAATGTCGAAAGAACACATGAAAGATGTTTCATTTTCAATGTTCAAGTTTTGCATGAGCTCAGCGAAAGTAAAAAAATCCTTGACGTAATGTTATGAATATTTTTGAAGAACAGGGCCCAAAACTTCAGAAAGCCACTTAGGCAGTTCATGTTGTGCTGAGCCAATCATAGACAAGATAGGTCTAAATGGGACGCCCAGCTTGTGTATTTTAGGAAGGCTATACATTTGTGGTCATTGAGAGCCTGTGGGTCTTATCCTATCATAAATTTCTGTAGCCAACACTTTTGAGCTCACCAGTTCCAACAAACATTTTTGGAGTTTCCGCTCTAGTTTGGCTGTTTTGTCATGTGTTTCTACATCACCTAATTTTTTTGATGTAGTCCTTTTTGTTCCACATTACCTCTCCAGACCCTTTATCAGGTTTTGTAATAAAGATGTCATTCTTAGTCCGTAGAGATTTTAGCGCTTGGAAATGTTCTCTATGCAAAAAAAATCAGACTGGTCGATGGGAGAGCCGCTATACGCATAGTCCTAATCGCTCGTAATTTGTTAAATTCCAAAGGGTTTGAAATCTCATGTTTGGGAAGTTGAACATAGTGAAACTTTTTCTGTTTATACCTTCCTTCTTAAACTGATCAGTTCCTTTGAGCTTTCTTACTTTTCTATGACCTTTCATCTGTTGGCTTCCTAAATTTTTTTGGTCTGCCAACCCCAAGTAAATCCCTTACTGTTGTTGTTTGGAAAAACCTTTTTATACACCTTGATAGCTGAGTTCTTTAAGCAGCCAACAGTTGATGCAATTCCATGATAACTTCTCCTGTTATTTTTGCAGAAAGCAATTTCAAAGTGCTTCTCATAACGAAGCCTAAATAATTTTATGGTTGATATTCTTCAAATCCTCTGGTGTACTTGAAGCATGAACAAAATCTTGAGAAAATTTCATGGAGATATCTTCTGTTCTGTATTAATTTGAGGGGGTGGGGAGAGAGACTTGTTCAGAAGTGTTGAGGATTTATGGTATCTCAAAGCTAACGCTTGGTCTTGTTAGAAACTACGAAAGTTATTTCTAAAAATGCAGTTTGAAAAAAGATGAATTGAAAAGGTGTATTTGAATTATGAAAGTCCTTTTTTATTTTAGTTGGATGAGTTGGAAAACATAATTGAAAGCTTGCTGATTTATTGTGGAGAATGCTGCGCATTGACTGATCAAGTATGTTTTGTTTACATCTTAGTTCTATGTACAAAGATACACTCACTGATAGATAACTAGATTTGCTGAAATTTGAAAATTGCACTAGATTTAGGCAAAAAGTTGATAGTAAAGTTTCCTAGTCAGCAGTTCGTTTAGGTTCAGTTTTAGCTACATGACTCAGTGCTTTTTATTTCTCTTTTGGCAATCTGTAGGTTTTCCATTCAATTATTAAAAGCAAAGAGGCTTTGGATTCACCTGCTGTAAGATATTATAACATTCTTGCAAAAGTGAACAATCTATTTGACTAAACAGAAGCCATTCAATTATACCAAAATTCCAATGCCTCATTTCTTTTGTCAACTTGCTGTTTTTGCTATTTTTGCTTTAGATTGCCCCAAAGCTGCTCTGATGCTTGTTGGTACTAGGTGATAAAGTGATCCTTGATCACCAAGCATGAGCAAACTAACATGTACTTTATCAAATGACCTCATAATAATATCTTTAAGTGGGAAACATAGAGTAGCAACTTAGAATTGTCCAGTTCTGTATAGTAATTCTGTTTATTGCAATTTTTATTATAAAGTTATGCGATTACATTGTTATTTCTACCTGACTGAATTCTTTTGTGACACATGTTTCCTTTTTGTTCTTCAAAGATCCGAGAAGAATCGAAAAAGCTATTATTTGCGGCACTACCTGAATTTTATGAAAAGAGAGCAGCCATGCAGTCCATTTTCAAACAAATTGACTGTTTAGAGGTAATTTGGAATTCCACACTATTATATTATTTTGTTAATGGAAACTGTGTGCGCTTTCAGGTTTGCTGTGAGATTCTCATTTGGTGTTTTCTTATTCAATATGTAAACAGCTGCATGATTTGGAGTGCCTGTAATGTAAAGACAAAGGATACTGTTTATAAATTTAAAAAATGTTTCAAAATGTTTCACCATGCCTCAATATGAAGGAATTTCTTTGGTTTTTGGTGTAAACTTCAAACAATGATCAACTGCTTTCTTTTTCCAGGAATTCATTTCAGTTATTAAAGCAAATGTTGAACAATTGGAAGAGAGTGTGCAACTTGGTGAAAAAGAACTTGGGAATAAAAATTTAAAGAAATTTATGTCATCAATTCCAATTCCCAGCTTTTTTGCTGTAAGTTTTTCATTTGTGTGATTTGAATTCATTTGTCAAAATTTGTAATAAGCAAATGCAGTCAGAATTTCTCTTCAGCTACTTCCTACAGTAGCAAGCAACATCCCTGCCAGACCTAGCTGAATTTCAGAAATTGGTTCCCTGTTTCACTAGAACCAATTGTGCCCTAATTTTAGCTCCATATTAACCATACCTGTAGATAGTATGGCGCAAAGAATCGATGCAGAACAAAAAATAATTTTTCTCTGAAATGATCCCCCCACCCCCCAAAAAAATGTAAGTACCCTGAGTAAAACACATTTGTATTATTGTTTAGTACTTCAAAAATTAGATAAAGTACTCTAATTCAATTTCTATTTTCACCCCCCATACTAGCAGAGCCTATATACTTCATAGTTTATATTTCTATGTTTAATTCAAAATTACAGGCTCATTATGATAGCTGGTTGAGGGGACATCGTTGTTCATGTACCACTGTTTATAGAATACGATGATAATTCTTTTATGTTAGCAGGTCCTCCTTTAGTGTACCTGCGTCTGCGATATAAATCGTTGACACTTTTAATTCTACAGGATAATTATCAACACGTATTACTGGGCCATGCATGAACTAAGGTTTTCTTGCTGTTGCTATATACCGTATTTTGGCAGGAAATCAATACCCTTTACAAATCATTGCTTAAATAGCTACCGCGTCAAAGTTAGGGAAAGGGGTTTTGAAATATTTTTTCGAAAAGCAGCGAGAAAGAACTGTCGTTTCCAGCAGGTTGTCTAAAATCCGGAGGGGACTGCTCTGGATGAGTTATTAGAAACAAATAATTTATATCAGCTAATCGATGAGCCAACTAACATGAAGGGCGAAGTATGTCCTGTATAGATCTTGTAATCACAGACCAACCCAACATTTTTGTAGAATCAGGAGTCCATCCTTTCTTTGATGATCACTGTCAACATCAAATAGTCTACGGTAAACTGAACATGTCAATACCCCATCTACCCCCATATAAAAGGACGATATGGGACTATTCAAAGGCTAGTACCCGGATGATTAGGCATCTCATAGGTGAAATTGATTGGTAACCAAGATTTGTAGGTCTTTGTTCGAATGGAATGACGGAAGTGTTCACTGGCACCATTATTGTAATTCTTTCTGCAAATATTCCAAACAAAATCATTAACTACAATGACAAGGATCCACCATGGACTACTCCTGAATTAAAAACTGCAATTAAACGCAAACATAGAATCTTCAGAAAATACAAAGATCGTTGCGGAAGGTTGGAGGACTGGATTTCATGAAAGAAGTCCGAAATGAAACTTTTAGATCACCAAGGCTAAAGAAAACTACTTTTTGACCATCGGTCGTAAGTTGTCTGATCCTTACCAAGGTATAAAGGCTTACTGGACTATTTTAAACAGATTTGTGAATAAGAAAAAAACCTTTAATATCCCTCCGTTACTTGAGAATGGAATCTTTGTGACAAACATACAAACAAAAGCAGATATCTTAAATGAGTATTTTGTTCAACAGTGCTCCACTATCGTGAATAGCAGCACTCTTCCAAACTTTCAACCAGTGTGTTACGCTCTTCTGCAAAGTGTTGACATAGACTGGGAAAAAGTAATTCGTGTACTGGACGCCACGACGGCTCATGGGTGTGATGACATATAAATCTCAATGATTAAGATCTGCGATACTTCCATCGTCGAGCCTTGTGCTTGATTTTTGGAAAATGCCTTGAAACAGGAATCTACCCTTCCATGTGGAAGAAAGCAAACATCATCCCTGTTCATAAAAAGGAAAGTAGGAACTATCGTCCAATCTCTCTACTGCCAATTTTTGGAAAGTTTTCGAAAATTTCATTTTTGACGTATTTTATTGTCATCTTTGTTACCATGGGCTACGAACATCACATCAATCTGGGTCTCGACCTGGTGATTCAACGATGAACCAACTCTTATCCATCACTCATGAAATTTACAGTGCTTTTGAGGAAATTCCTTCCAAAGAAACACGAGCAGTCTTTCTGGACCTGTCTAAAGCATTTGATAGAGTTTGGCATGAGGGGTTACTTTTAAATGTAGTGGGATATCTAGAGATCTCTTAACTTAATCTGCAACTTTTTACTAATCGTCAGCAACGCGTTGCGTTAAACGGAACATTTTCACAATGGGCTACCGCATCTCCAGTGGTTCCTTGTTTACATTAATGACATTGTTGATTATTTTCAATGTTATATTACGCTTTTTGCTGACGACACTTCAATCTTCTTCGTTGTTCGGAATAATAGAAGCAGTGAGGAACCAAACAGGGATCTTGCGAGATTGCGATTGTGGTCATGGCAATGAAAAATGCACTTCAATGCATACAAAACAGAAGAAGTAATTTTCTCTACCAAAAGGAATGTATCCTATCATGATCCCTTAAAATTAGGAAATGATGAGTTTGATAGAAAAACGGAGCCCAAACACATCGGAATGGTTCTTGACTCTAAATTAAGTTTTCAAAGCCAAATCGGGGAGGCTATCATCAAGGCAAGGAAAGGGATCGGAATAATAAGGTTCATCTCTAAACACGTCTCTAGAAATGTGCTTGATCAAGTTTACAAGCTTTACGCAAGACCCCATTTTGATTATGGTGACATGATCTATCATAGGTATGACCCTGACATGAGACTAAATGTTACAAAACGACTTGAACAAACCCAGTACCATGCAGCATTGGCCGTAACTGGAGCATGGAAAGGCACAAATAGACAAAGACTATACGACGAACTCGGTTGAGAAGATCTCTATCAGAGAAGATGGTACAGACGCTTGTGCAATTTTTATAATCTACGGAAAACAGGTTCACCTGGGTACCTTTTTGATGAAATACCGTCAGAGCGCGAACAATCTTACAACCTAAGACACTCGCGTTTATACGACCAGCATGTCGGCAGAACTATTCGATTCTCGCATACCTACTTTCAACATGCTAGATGATGACATCAAAAATTCACAATCCATATCCGAGTTTAAACGGAAGCTACTTGCAGTTATAAGACCAACTAAAAACCCTTTATGATGTCTTTGATATAGAAGTCTCAGTTTGACGTCAGCAATCCATGTGTCCAGAAAGAGACCTGTTCGTTATGAAGAAGGCAATGCAAGTGCTGAATTTCATACAGAATTTTACCGACAAATTTACTACCAAGCTTTAGACTGAATTACCTCTTCCAGAAAAGAATGACTTGATCAGGATGGCTACATAAAGTATATTGAATCGAAGAACTTATTGACTCACCCATGGAATGGTGACAACTTTAAGAAAGAATTAGAGTTGGTCTGTAAGTTTTACAAGGATAGTTAAGACAAAGAGTTGTTAACCTTTTTATTTGATGTTTTTATGAGCAAACAAGCCTGCAGCAAAAGTCTCTTCTTTCAAAGAAGTGTGGGAGAATTGCAAGAAAATGTCGAAAGATCACAAATCGCTTTTAGTACAAGTTATAATAGTTCTGAAGCTGCTACTTGTAATACCTGCGACCGATTTCTGAAAGGAGCTTTTCCGGGCTACGAAGAATAAAAACATATTACATTACACGTGCAAAAGGAAATAACAGAAACATTGGATTTGATATCGGGGGCAAATGAGTTGGTTTTTTAAAATGATAGAGAAAATTATCACCTTTGTAAATTTTCAACCAGCGATTTGTCCCATTCGTTGAAAGTTTTAATTTATGCATAGTATAACTGTAGTACATTATAACCCCGTTCATTAGGACCTCAAAGGGGATATTGTTTCCCTTAACAAATGCCCCAGTTAATCAAAACTCCTGGCAAGTGGGGCAAGGACGAGCATTTACTATTAAAATCTTCAAGGAATACATTTTGGTGGAAAGGTCGATTAAGAAACCAATTATAAGAAAACATATAAACTCCGATACTAAGAACAATTTATTTAAAAATCTTACTATCCAAATAGGCAGAACAGAAATGCTATGATATAAATGAAAACCCTTTGTTGACACCATGTTTTCCCCAATTTAGAAATGGTGGATTTCTCTTAAATCTCTCTTTGTTACATCCTTTTCAGTGAAAACCAACAAATTATTGGTAGAATGTCCATTTGAATGGAAATTTCTTGACACATTACTGTCTTAATGTTATCTGAATTTTTAGTTTTTACAAGGTGTGTCATAGATCATTTTACATCTCGTAGATTCATTTAGATTTGAACGTTTGAATTTGCTCTACAGCAAAAGAAGCAAGCTAGAAGCCACCAGAAAGCAGAAGTCAAGGACACAGATCCTCAAATACCTCAGATTTTCAAAGTAGATGATTACATTGAGACTGACGACAGCGAATCATAATAGGATTAAACAAGATTTTCTATTTCACATGCTGTTAAATTTGGTTCTACTTGGAATAGCAGGCAGTAAAGAAAGATAGGAAATTATCTTATGGTTCACTGGCCCTGCTTGAAAATTGAAACTGATTCATTAAACATTTGCCCCCAAATTATACATGGGCCAACTATTTGCTCCCAAAATATTGTGGGAGGCGCGATACACCCCCATGTGTACAAGACTTTAGGCATGGAGCAGCTACTTCAGGTTCATCCCCTACACATTCATTTTTAGTAAATAAAAAGAATATTTGCCTTTGCCTAAAACAATTGTTCTGTTCATCAGTCTCCCAGCCCCCCCCCCCCACACACACACCACACACCTTAGCATTAATAAGAATTATCTCATTGTCGATATTTTTCCTGCATTATTCTCGATAATGTAATTGACATGTTAGCAAGATGTTACCTTGTTCTGTTTTAATTGCCAAATTTGGTTGTAAACTTTGACGACATAAGCACCATTATTTTAAATAGATAGTTGACAATACAGAAAACATCGCTAAGTTGCTGAAGACAAAAATCCCCTAAATTGAAGTTAAGATTGGCCCTGATTTTAACATTTCCTTCTTTTGTAGAATTTTTCCTCAAATTTGAAAAGTTTAAGCGAAATTCAAGCTAATTTGAATAAACAGTCTAGTGCCATGCCAACTTTCTAAGCAGAACATCACTCTTTAATTCATCATTTAGAAACAAAGGATAATATTAGGATAACATTATCAATTTAATATTCAATTTTCAATATTCAATTTTACCTAATTATTTGAAAGCAAATTAATTATATTTTGCAAACGAATAGACACGGGAGTCATAGCACTGTAAATAGACATAACGGCTTTAAATTTGTATTCTAATTTGTGTATTTTCCTAAATATGATACAATTTTTTTGCGGTACAGAATTTGAAAATGGCTTTGAAAGAAGCAAACATTTTACAACATACTTAAAGTTTGTTGTAAACTTTGAGTATGTTGTAAAATGTTTGCTTTTTTCAAAGCCATTTTTAAATATGATACCTTACTTAACTCTTTACAGGGTCATTAACTCCAAAATTAAGTTCTGTATTTTGTAACATGTGTGAGGTAAATTAAAGATAAAAATTGCTGAAAATCAATCAGTAGATGAAGTATTTCATTATGGATTCTTCTCTTCTGTACTTTTAATAATTCCAGTTTTGTTAAATTTATTTGGCAACAAAAGTTCAACAACAAAACGTTGTCTCTTGGTCCTGTCATTTATTACTAGCCACAAGTACCGTCAAAGTTCTATTTTGATTCTGATTATAGGGAGAGGAGGGGCCACAGTCAGTTCAAAAGATGACAGGGACTGGATTATAGGGAGGGGAGGGGGCACAGTCAGTTCAAAAGATGACAAGGACTGGATTATAGGGAGGGGAGGGAGCACAGTCCGTTCAAAGGATGACAGCTACTGGATTATAGGGAGGGGAGGGGGCACAGTCAGTTCAAAAGATGACAGGGACTGGATTATTGGGAGGGGAGGGGGCACAGTCCGTTCAAATGATGACAGGGACTGGATTATAGGGAGGGGAGGGGGCACAGTCCGTTCAAAGGATGACAGCGACTGGATAATAGGGAGGGGAGGGGGCACAGTCAGTTCAAAAGATGACAAGGACTGGATTACTAGGGAGGGGAGGGGGCACAGTCTTCAAATGATGAAGGGACTGGATTAGAGGGGAGGGGCACAGTACGTTCAAAGGATGACAGGACTGGGATATAGGGAGGGGAGGGGGCACAGTCCGTTCAAAGATGACAGGACTGGATTATAGGGAGGGAGGGGGCACAGTCCGTTCAAAGGATTGACAGGTACTGGTTATAGTGTAGGGGAGGGGGCACAGTCCGTTTCAGAATTGAATGACAGGGGACTGATTATAGGGAGGGGAGGGGCACAGTCCGTTTCAAAGATGACAGGTACTGGATTATGAGGGGGGAGGGACAGTCAGTTCAAAGATGACAGGGACTGGATTATAGGGGAGGGAGGGGGCACAGTCGCTTCAAATGATGACAGGGACTGGATTATAGGGAGGGGAGGGGCACAGTCCGTTCAAAAGATGACAGGACTGATTATAGGGAGGGGAGGGCACGTCGTTCAAGATGACAGGGACTGGATTAAGGGAGGAGGGGCACAGTCCGTTCAAAGATGACAGACTGGAATATAGGGAGGGGAGGGGCACAGTCCAGTTAAAGGATGACAGGACTGGATTATAAGAGGAGAGGGGCACAGTCCGTTCAAAGGTGACAGGGACTGGATTATAGGGAGGGGAGGGGGCACAGTCAGTTCAAAAAAGGACAGGGACTGGATTATAGGGAGGGGAGGGCACAGTCCGTTCAAATGATGGACAGGGACTGGATTATAGGGAGGGGAGGGGGCACAGTCCGTTCAAGATGACACAGTGACTGGATATAGGGAGGGGAGGGGGCACAGTCCGTTCAATGATGACAGGGACTGGATTATAGGGAGGGGGGGGGCACAGTCCGTTCAAAGGATGACAGGTACTGGATTATAGGGAGGGAGGGCACAGTCGTTCAAAATGAACGGGACTGGATTATAGGGAGGGAGGGGGCACAGTCCGTTTCAAATGATGACAGGGACTGGATTACTAGGAGAGGGGAGGGGCACAGTCGTTCAAATGATGACAGGGAACTGGATTATAGGGAGGGGAGGGGGCACAGTCCGTTCAAGTGATGCGGACTGGATTATAGGAGGGGAGGGCACAGTCAGTTCGAAAGATGACAGGACTGGATTATAGGGAGAGAAGGGGGGCACAGTCCGTTCAATGATGAACAGGGACTGGATTATAGGGAGGAGGGGGCACAGTCCGTTCAAAGGATGACAAGGTACTGGATTATAGGGAGGGGAGGGGGCACAGTCAGTTCAAAAGATGAGAGGGACTGGATTATAGGAGGGGAGGGGGCACAGTCCGTTCAAATGATGACAGGGACTGGATCTTATAGGGAGGGGAGGGGGCGACAGTCCGTTTCAAAAGGATGACAGTGACTGGATAATAGGAGGGGAGGGGGCACAGTCAGTTCAAAAGATGAAAGGACTGGATTATAGGGAGGGGAGGAGCACAGTCCGTTCAAAGGATGACAGGTTACTGATTATAGGGAGGGGAGGGGCAGTCAGTTCAAAAAGATGACAAGGACTGTTTATGAGGGAGGAGGGGCACAAGTCCGTTCAAAGGATGACAGGGACTGGATTATAGGGAGAGAGGGGGACAGTCAGGTTCGAAAGATGACAGGACTGGATTTATAGGGAGAGAAGGGGCACAGTCCGTTCAGAATTTCAAAAGATGACAGGGACTGGATAATAGGGAGGGGAGGGGGCACAGTCAGTTCAAAAGATGACAAGGACTGGATTATAGGGAGGGGAGGGAGCACAGTCCGTTCAAAGGATGACAGGTACTGGATTATAGGGAGGGGAGGGGGCATAGTCAGTTCAAAAGATGACAGGGACTGGATTATAGGGAGGGGAGGGGGCACAGTCCGTTCAAAGGATGACAGGGACTGGATTATAGGGAGGAGAGGGGGAACAGTCAGTTCGAAAGATGACAGGGACTGGATTATAGGGAGAGAAGGGGGCACAGTCCGTTCAAATGATGACAGGGACTGGATTATAGGGAGGGGAGGGGGCACAGTCCGTTCAAAGAATGACAGGTACTGGATTATAGGGAGGGGAGGGGGCACAGTCCGTTCAAATGATGACAGGGACTGGATTATAGGGAGGGGAGGGGGCACAGTCCGTTCAAAGGATGACAGTGACTGGATAATAGGGAGGGGAGGGGGCACAGTCAGTTCAAAAGATGACAAGGACTGGATTATAGGGAAGGGAGGGAGCACAGTCCGTTCAAAGGATGACAGGTACTGGATTATAGGGAGGGGAGGGGGCACAGTCAGTTCAAAAGATGACAGGGACTGGATTATAGGGAGGGGAGGGGGCACAATCCGTTCAAAGGATGACAGGGACTGGATTATAGGGAGGGGAGGGGGCACAGTCAGTTCGAAAGATGACAGGGACTGGATTATAGGGAGAGAAGGGGGCACAGTCCGTTCAAATGATGACAGGGACTGGATTATAGGGAGGGGAGGGGGCACAGTCCGTTCAAAGGATGACAGGTACTGGATTATAGGGAGGGGAGGGGGCACAGTCAGTTCAAAAGATGACAGGGACTGGATTATAGGGAGGGGAGGGGGCACAGTCCGTTCAAATGATGACAGGGACTGGATTATAGGGAGGGGAGGGGGCACAGTCCGTTCAAAGGATGACAGTGACTGGATAATAGGGAGGGGAGGGGGCACAGTCAGTTCAAAAGATGACAGGGACTGGATTATTGGGAGGGGAGGGGGCACAGTCCGTTCAAAGGATGACAGGGACTGGATTATAGGGAGGGGAGGGGGCACAGTCAGTTCAAAGGATTACAGGGACTGGATTATAGGGAGGGGAAGGGGCACAGTCCGTTCAAAGGATGACAGGGACTGGAAGTATAACCAACATATACTCGAGGTTTACTTTCCAATGAAGATTGATGGCAGAGAAAAACTAGAAATAACTGAATTATCACTCTCAATTATTTTTTACAATACGTCCATAATTTTTAAAAATAATTTGTCACCCGTTTTGCTATAATACTATTCGTTGGATAAATCTAATTTCATGTCATCAAAGCACCCGCGATAACATTACAACTGAACGCTATGATTTTTGTGTTCTGTACACCAAGTATAAACTTCTGAAAAGTATATTTGCCTTAACATTACGATTATGTATGTATTTTCTTGACAATTTTTAAACGATAATGAATTAAGAACAAGGTGATTGAATGATAAATTAATGCTGATGATCAATTCGTGGAATATAAAATAAGTATTGTGTATATGTGAAAGACGTAGTAAGCCTGATCGTTAATCGGTTTTAATGATCTTCTGCATTAGGAATATGAAACAAAGTGCTCTGGCAGAGCAGAAATTGATGATATGTCATAGGAAATCAAATATCAGTATTAAAATGTTTTCTAAGTATCTTATTTCAGTAGGCATTCGAGTTTGGCATATCTTTGGCAAAGTTCTCCATAGATTTTTTGCGAATCCTTGTTAGGTGACGCAACGAGACAATAAGGAGCAGCATTCTGAACTGTTTCATCAAAGAATGCATTAGTAGATAAAGCATGCTTTGCTCGGTAATTTCCGCCCAGGCATGCTGAATTTGCGGTATCAGTTATGGCATACACTGAGCAGCAGAAGACGTCACACAAAATTTGTAAAATTTCTGGGTTTTTTGATGCTCCTCCTGTTGCCAGAATTCTTGAATTTTGATCTAAGAAACAAACAATTTTTGACCTTTATTTTGGTATAAGCTGATGTTTTTATTCCGCTAAAATTTAAAAGAATGAGATTACAACACAACAGAAAAACAATGTTTTATGATCTCAACCCAACAAATGTCTTTTTAAAGTTTCTTTCAAAATTGATGGATAGCAGGGAGCTCCATTATGTTGATAGGGATTCCATCCCAAACATAAAGAGTACTATATGAAATCCTTTCTTTAAATGTTCTCAATAATATTTTGCGAAAATCTTATGCAAAAGCCTAAAGTCTGGAATCTGAAACTACATTTACTTAAAAGATTTTCTGGAAAGGACCTGTTTACAACGAAATATTTCAACTAATGAGCTAACGAAAACTTTCAATGCCACCATTCTAAAAATAAACGAATATTTACATCCACATACCTAAATGGAAACCAAGCTTTTCCGCGTGTATTTTTTTAGCAATGAACTGCCCCTCGATCATAGCACGGACTTCAGTATCAGGAGAAAACGAATCAACAACTTTATCATCAGAATTCCATCGATATATCCCCCTTGCATTCGGTATTATTTCCTGGTCAATAAAATACACACCAATATTCCCATTATTCCCAGGCGGTGTATTCTGCAAAGCTTTATTGAAATCTTCCCAACTTCCCTTAACTGAAAGATCTTTGATCTTTTCTCTTGTAAGCGAGCCATTTTTGTAACAAAGTAGCGCCATATAACTATTTTCTACGAAATAAAGGTGAATTAGTATCAGTACATAAAATAGTGGCAACTACTGAAAAAGTCAAAATACCAAAATCTTTTAGAGTGTTTATAGCTTATAAACACACTAAACACGGAGCTTCAAAAAGCCATATATTTGAAGTGATCATGACCCTGTTAGCAAAAAAACACTATAAAATGGTTCAGCGTACCAGATTTGATCTTGAAAAACTGAAAGGTGGAGAAATTGCTGAAATATACAAAGCAAATTTATACAACCGCTTTGTACCCCTACTACCTTTTAATAATGAAAATACACAAAACTTCTGCGATGAATTCACAGAGATTGTAACAGAAGAAGCAACCATTATCATTGGAAGAGGCAAAAACTTGAAAAACCATGGATGATGGAAGGCATTTTCGAGGCCTGTGAAAAAAAGGCTAAAGAAACAAACGAGATTCACCAGTCAAGAAACTCTTGAGGAATACAAAACAGCAAACGGAAACGTAAAAAAACTTACAAATAAAACCAAAAACAACTGGATAGAAAAGAAAGAAACTAAAATCGAAGAAGGTCTTGTAAACAACTCACGAAAAGCGTACAACATTGTTAAGTCACTAATACAAGAGAAAAAAAGGCGAATCAATGTCATTGAAAACAAAGACGGAAATCTTCTAACAACCAAAAAAGATATAGCTGAGCGATGGCACGAATACTGCAGTGAACTTTACAAACACCAAGCCAATGTTGACCACGCAATATTCGCAGAACCAACTGTAGAAGAAGATGAAAATACACTTGAAATTTTAAGAACAGAAGTGGAAAATGCTGTAAAACATTTAAAAGATAACAAAAAATAGTATCCCAGTGGAGCTTATAAAAGCAGGAGGTGACACGATGGTAGATATTTTGCTATCACTTTGCAATGGAATTCTTAAAACTGGTAAGTGACCAACACAATGGACGGAATTTTTACTAATTCCAATCCCAAGAAGAAAGTTAGCAAAAAATGCAGTGAACACAGAACAATTAGTCAAAAGTAGAAGATAATCTTGATGAAGAACATTCTGGCTTCAGAAAAGATCGTAGTACTGCAGAACGCGTTTTGAACTTGCGCCTTATCTGTGAAATCGACCGCAATCGCAGTAATAACGTGTTCCATAACTTTATAGATTTTAAAAAAGCATTTGACATAGTTTGGCACGGGGGTGTGGCACACTAAGGAAAATTATGGAATCGACAAAGGCATTATATCGCTCATTAAACAACTTTATGAAACAGCTAGAACAACTGTCTTAGTAGAAGACACATACAGTGATTGGTCCACGAGCACTGTAGGAGTGAGACAAGGTTGCATTCTCTCTCCTACCCTATTCAATCTCTTTCTCGAAATAATTATGTCTGGCACACTGGAAAACTATGATGGTGGAATCGGTTGCGGAGGGCTTACAGTTAACAACCTCCGCTTTTCGGATGACATGTACCTGATTGCCCACATTGCCAATAATGATTATTACAAACAAATTAGACACAACAGCTAGCAGATTCAGGATGGAACTAAGCACAGAGAAAAGCAAAGGCATGGTAACAGAAAAAAACATTAGGGCAAAATTCTTAATTTAGGTTAAAGATGATGCTCTGGAACAAGTAAAAGAATTCAATTGCTTGGGGTAACTATAACTGAGAATATAACGAGCGAGTTAGAAGTTTTAAGAAAAATTGGAGCAGCAACGAGTGCACGGGCAAAGTTAGAAAAGGTTTAGAAGCTGAAGGGAAAATTCCATTTATTGAGGGCAGTCGTGAACGGTATAATGCTATATGCATGTGAAAGCTGGACGATGACGGATAAGATTCAAAGCTGCTTTGAAGCTTTCGAAATGAAATGTTACCGAAGATTACTCGGAATATCATGGCGAGATAAGAAGACAAACCAAAATGGGATGGAACAAATTACTGCTGCAAATGACGGAATGCCAGAGAGACTGGTAGAAACCATCAAAAAAAGGAAGCTGACATTCTTTGGCCATCAGGTCAGAAGGGATGGTTGGACGAAAAAACTATTGCAGGGTAACTGCAAAGTAAAAGATACCAGGGAAGGCCAATGCGAGTGTGGCAAGACAACATCAGATATTGGACCGGACTAGAGGGTTTGCAGGCTTACCATGAGACAAAAAAAAGCGGTGGCGATTGAATGTTAAGGACGGGGTGCACCACAGGCTAAGGAACTGATGTGACGATAGCTTGTGGGATTAAATGAAACCATTTTCAGATGATTGTATCGATTTTGATCATATTTTTCCTAGTACAAAGAAAAACATAGGAAGCTAAATTTTCATTCAATTCCTTTCTTGAAATGCAATAAAGCAGCAATTAAATGACTTTAGATATCAATACTTCGGTATGAAAAAAATTGTTTGGATTAAGTGTGCGGGTAAATTTTTAGCGATGTTCCAATGGCTACCATCAGCAATAGAGGGTAAACTAAAGAATTTAAGTCAATTGATTTTCGTTATAATTTTAGGAAGGCCGTAAAGAATTTCTGGGAAAAGCGTAGCTTGTAATTTGAGACATAGCAAAGTCAAAACAGATATAGGAAAAATGGCAAATTGGCATGCATTCAAAAACTTAACTTCAGTAAGAGGAGGACTTTGAATCTTGAGTAAGCACATATAGCATAACTTCGCTAACATAACTAAACTGAGCTCTTTCAAACAGGAACTCGTGTACCTATATACAAGAAACAAAACACTTGGAAAGACAGATGTGAAATATTGACCTACAATTTTGAGCAAGACCTCTATAGTTTGGGCTGCAATCTTGTCTATCTTCTTGAAAGGGGGGGGGGGGCTAAAGCTGCTTTTGCCAGCAGTTCATTTTCATAAACAAATGATACCGAACTAAATCGAATTACAAAATATCCCACTCACCATTAACTGGATTCACAAAAACATGGCCAATCAAAGATGGCCTTGGTTCCTCAAGCCAGAAAATCAGCGTGTCACTTGTACCAAGACTAACAGCGACGTCCCCTTTATGAAGCCTCATTCCAGCTAATGACGATGGATTGTCACCCGTAAACGCCGTCACTGTACAATTACTGGCAAAACCGTATCTTTTTATCATGTATTGTGAAATTTTACCAATATTTGTGTTTGAGGCAACTGGGGTTCCAAGCTTGTCAGGAAGACCTGGTGCACATGCCTGCATAAAATGTTTTTAAGCTCCGTTAAACAGAACAAATACATCGCGTAACACTTCAAAAGAAAATGTTTGGCAGAATTTCAGGTATAACTTGCCAGCTTGTTTGGTAAAAAAACATTTTAAAAAATGCCACATTTTTGGGCCTCGATAGTATTTTAAAATATCACCGCACTCCCCTCCTTGGAATGATAGGCCCAGCATAGAAATCTAACGGGACAACAATGTAAATTTCGTAGCAGCTCATGTTTTCTGCCCCTCAGATTATACTTTGAATCTAGTCAAAAGGCCCCATTCTACTTTCAGAACCACAGAGCATTGCTTGTGCACCGACACATCTTGGGTTGAGTTAAGCCAATTTGAAGACATATCAGCATTCTATCTATGGTTCCTACACTTTGAATCAAGACTTTAATCATCTGGGAAATGGTTGATATGAAATATGGTTCATCGAAATATATTCACACTAGGAGGCTACTTGGCTAATTGAAAACAATTTCTTAGATCCATGTTATTTTTAGTCAACTCAGATGCTCCTTCATTTCTTTTCCCAAGCCATTAAATGCCTTGCTTGCCGAAGTATATATCATTTTTTTTGGTTTAGATCAGATATTTTTCAATGTACCGAACTGGTAATCCATTTTGCACAAAGTTTTCCACGGTTTTTTTTAATTCTCCCAATTAGAATATGCACTGAGGCAATCATTGTGACCGCTAGATGATATATTCTCTCTTTTTCCTTTCGTGAACAAACTTAGTTATTTCAAGTATTCATTGTTATTAAAATATTAAAATATAAAGCATTAACTAGCCTGTGTCATGTCTGTGAAGCAGGCTAGCATTAACCTGAACATCCTATGTATTACCAGGCATGCTTGTCTACTATTCCTCTAAAGATATGGCTTGCTTCAAACCTTCAGCATTACTGGATAGCCTTCTTCAGATTCACAACAGTAGATTCGTAATGTTTTCAGGACTCTAACAGGCAAATTTATTGTATTGTATCAAAAATAAGCTTCTACTGAGTTTTTTTCTCGATTGGAATTTGTTGGTCTATTTTTCATCGCCTTATTTTCCAGTTGTTTTCTGGAAACATATTTGAGAAATAACACTAATATTTCACCTCATGATGATGATAAGTGTGACAATTCATTTTTTGCAGTTGTGGGTTGCAGAGGATATGCCTGTTTATTAAGTTCTTTAAGTGCCAGCCATGAGGTATTGTAGAGGAAAACCATAATAAGCTGAATTGTGGATAGAAGAAAGGTAAAGTTCTCCATTCTTATGGTAACCATTTTCCACATTCAATCATGCATGACCAATAAAAAGTTGCAACTATATTCATATCAATTACAGGCAGGTACAATTATTTTCTAGAGACAACTATAAAAATAAAATAGAGAGTACCTCTGCTAAAACTGAATCCCATTTTTTATCCACAATGTTAAGCAGATTCATTCCAGAGCCATCACTGAAATCAATGGGTGCATAATCTCCAATAAATAAGGATGCAACAAAACTGCTGACTAGGGAGATTCTTTCACATTGATTGTAAGATTTCTCGTTCTTTTTGTAGATTTTTGAAATTTGGTTTCCTGTAAACCTCTCATAGGCTCTAGATCCTGTTATCTTTGCAAGTTTTTCAGGACCACCAATAGCTTTTTCTAAATTCATACATTCACTTCCTGTACTTGAATCCATCCATATTGGACTGTCTTTTACAGTGAACTGGTTCTAAATATAAATGATTTACAAAAATCTTGTTAATGGCAAAAATATAAATTTAGTTTGATATCATTTATTGATATCAAGGATGGGAATTTGGGCTTGAAGAAAAAATTGGGGACTCATTTTACATTTGTTTTATTGTTCTGAAGAAGAAGGTAATGTTATATCACAAGGACAACAACAGGCTACGTTCATAAACAGTGGTGGCACCAAAGGGGGTATGAGGAGTAATTGCCCCCCCCCCCACTTTTGTCAAAACATGGCTACATATTTCTTCTAAAAATGGATTAAATGCTCTAGGTAGGGGTAGTTCATATTTCCTATAGAAAATTAACCTGGTACAAAGTACTGAAACGAGGTTAAAGGAGCGTGGTCTCACTGGCCATGCCTATTACCCTCCCACTCTGCAGTAGCTGGTGTCGCCACTGCCTGAAACCACCCAAGACAATTATCTGCTTGTGTTTTGAATAATACCTGTTTTTTCTGCTTATGCTGTCAATTGGCATCATCCTTATTACCCATTTTCACTTGCTCATTGTTATTTTCACTTGCAGCATGTGGTTTACAGATTCATTTAAACAGATTCAAAGAATTTTGGAGCATTTGCAAACTTCTTTCTTCACTAAAATCCTACTTATACAAACCCGCTTAGCATAGAATTACAGTTTGAATTCGAGAACCTACTTCAACAAATCACTCTTAAGATCATATTATCTAGAAAAAGAGTGTCTAAATGAAATGATCCACTGCACCATATTCAGGCTCTTGTGCATAAAGACATATCAACAGTTAACTAGATGCCCCCAGGGCTTCTGAGATTATGACCAAAAGGGTAATTCCATATGAAATCAACACAACAGAAATCCAGAAGTTGTCAGATTTTATTGAAATTTATATTGAGTGATAAAGATAGTTGAGATATGCATATTCTGAAATTTTCAACTCAATATCATTTGTCGTTCCTGAAATATAGCCTTTTATTTTTTGGGCTTTATTGTATCGATCTCGCCCCCCGGAAATAAATAATCAGCCATAATTTTGCTTCTACTATTGCTATGAGGCTGGTTGAGGTCTCATCTGAAAGGGATTTTGAAGCTCTGTTTGAAAATGGAACATTTGAAATCATTGGTCCTATGAAACAAAATGTAAATCTAAAAGTGAAGTAGTCTCATAAACGACCCCCCAGAAAAAATATACATTGACCCCTCAAGAATTTTTTCACATATTTAGTAACCTTATACATTGTCTATCTCTCATGGTAAGTATCAGCTTGGGGTTTGCAGTAAGTAAGGAAATATGCTCTTTCAAAGTTAAGAAGTATGCCATTCATGCAAAATTTTCTAGTAAGATCTCTTTGCCTTCGTAGCTTTTCCCTTTAGTACTGGGAAAATAGTTGGTTAGGTTAAAATCATTGTTTGGGCTGTTATTGTAGTTGATAATATACCATTCAACTTATTGTCTTATAGCTAGATGAATGACCTATTGATGGTATGTGAAAGAAAAAAAATTACCACTATGATGTCAGCGACACTTACTTAAGAGAAAAAATTTAATAGCATACCGATAAGGTGTTAAGATTTCAATCAATGAGCAAGGCTTTTCAAAATATTTCTAGGGGATTAGCATGGGTGGAGATCATTTAACACCTTTACTAACAAACAAATTGCTGAATAACTCATTATAATCTGTATTGTGATGTCAGTTTCATTTCCTCCATTAAATGATCACCATAAAGCTATAAAAGATGATCACCAGCCAGAGAAAGTTTAGATTATTACTAGAAATAAGCATTAAGTATGGAGGGGAGCTGTGAGTTTTGTTTTACTACTGGAACTGTTTGTTACTTGGCTGACAATCATAAATTACATGTTTTGAATGAAAATGAAGTTAAGCTATTGAAGCTGAGAACAGGTATTGATGCTAATACAATATGTAGTCGTGAAAAGAACAAGCAACTATCATTTTATGCCTCGCACCAATTGCATTGCTGTGATCCAATGTCAAAACATCCTGGTAAGAAGTTAACCAAAGATTTAAGAGAAATTACTCTGGAAACAGCAGAAAGATACCAAGCATTCAACTTGATTCCAGGAAAAAAGTGGTGTTCATCTTGTAGAAAAAACATACATTCGTATAAGCCACCTGAGCCTTCTACTTTGCTTATTCAAGATATCACAGATGCACCAGGATCAGGTGATGATGACAATGATGCTGGTGATGAATCTTTTGAATCAACATCAGCAGAAATATCCATAGTCAATGAATCTTTGTGCGCAATGGGTGAATCTCCAGTGCAGATGAAAATGCTTGCCTCTAGGAAAAGGTACCGAGAAGATAAAGCTAAAAGTATTGCAAATGCATATCGTAGAAAGATGAGCTTGCCATCACAAAACAATGAGGAGGAGATCAGAAAGAAAGAACTTGAACGGTACAAGAAGTACTACAATGAAATGATTGGTCAACTTAAAGATAAGTTTCAATCGTCCGATAAGAGAAGTGACAAACTGCAAATCTTAACTGTTCTCCCCAGTAGCTTCACTCTTCTACAAATACAGGATGAATTCAATGTAAGCAATTACACAGCAAGAGCAGCTAAGAAACTTGTGAAAGAAAAGGGAGTACTTGCTACTCCAAATCCAAAGTCTGGTAACAAAATTCCAAAGGCCACCGAAGAATCTGTCAAATTATTTTACCAATCTGATGAAATCAGCCGTAATATGCCTGGGAAAAAGGACTGTGTATCAATGCTTGTAGATGGGAAAAGGAGTACAGTTCAAAAAAGACTTATACTGTGTAACTTAAAGGAAGCATATCAGCTGTTCAAGAGTCAAAACAATATTAAGCTGGGATTTTCGAAGTTTGCATCACTGCGACCAAAAAACGTTGTTCTCCCTGGTGCAAGTGGAACTCACAGTGTATGTGTTTGCACAATTCATCAAAATGTCACACTGATGCTTGAGGGGTCAAAGATATCAATAAAGATGGTTGGTGAAGATTACAATGGACCGATAAGACATGGTCATCTCATAGAGACATTTCTTTGTAACCCTGCCCAACCAATTTGCTTTTTCGGGGATTGTAACTATTGTGGAGACACTTCATTTCTTAAAACCTTTCTAGAAGAATCATTTGAGAGTCTAGATGTAGATGAGATTACTTACAAGGCCTGGGTGACAGTTGATAGAACATCACTCGAAACAATAACTAAGAGCACAGAAGACTTCATTGTGACCTTAATAGAGAATTTACAGCAACTTTAAAGACATGGATTCATTGCAAGAATGCAGGCAGCCTATTATAGAGATGCAAAGGAAGAGTTGAAACTGGGAGAAGTCCTTGTGGTTTGTGATTTTGCAGAAAATTACTCCTTTGTTCTCCAGGATGCAGCTCAAAGTTTTCATTGGAATAACATGCAGGCAACTTTACATCCATTTGTGATCTACCATCGCTTTCCAGTAGAGGAAGACACAACTACCAACCTAAAGTGCATCAGTCTGGTGATTATATCAGATTGCTTAAGTCACAACACCACAGCCTTCCACTGTTTTCAACGGAAGCTTGTTAAATTTCTTAAGAATAGATTTCAGATTACGAAAGCTTATTACTTCACTGATGGTGCAGCTTCCCAATACAAAAACCGGAAAAACTTTTTGAATCTTGCCTTCCATGGAAATGATTTTGGGTTCGTAGCAGAATGGAATTTCTTTGCGACATCTCATGGTAAAGGTCCTTGTGATGGTGTTGGTGGAACAGTCAAGCGTCTTGCAGCAAGGGCCAGTCTTCAAAGGCCATATGACGACCAGATACAAACACCACTGCAGCTGTTTGAATGGGCTCATTCATCTCTGAAGGATATCAATTTTGCATTTGTATCACAGGATGAGTATGACACAGAAGAAAGGTTACTTTCAGCAAGATCAGAGAAGAGCAAAACAGTGCCTGGTACTCACCAGTTCCATTCTTTCTCGCCAATACCCAACTCAAGAACATTATTAGCAGAACGGCACTATTCCTTGTGTGAATCACAGACAATAGTTAAAGTTAGCTTTGAAGAGGAAGGAGATATTTTAGCATGGCATGATCTTAATGGCTTTGTGACATGTGTGTATGACAACAAATGGTGGCTGGCTTTAATTCTACAAGCTGATAAAGATGATGGAGAGGTCAAAGTAAAATTCCTCCAACCATCAGGCCCATCACCTTCATTTTGCTATCCAACAAAAGAAGATATTTTGCTCATTCCAAAATCATCAATTTTAACCAAGGTTGAGCCCAGGACTCATACAGGAAGGACATATTTTTTGACTAAAGAAGAAAGTTTAAAAGCAACACAGATATTGACAGATATGCAACTTTGATTGTTTGATAACCATGTTTTTATACGCTGTATTTTGTTCTAAATTGATGCCAGTATATTGCAAATGTTCAACTTCAAAAGGGTGTATTTCTCTATTTACTGCAAACCCCAAGCTGATACTTAACACGAATGATAAACAATGTATAAGGTTACTAAATATGTGAAAAGATTCTTGGGGGGTCAATGTATATTTTTTCTGGGGGGTCGTTTATGAGACTACTTCACTTTTAGATTTACATTTTGTTTCATAGGACCAATGATTTCAAATGTTCCATTTTCAAACAGAGCTTCAAAATCCCTTTCAGATGAGACCTCAACCAGCCTCATAGCAATAGTAGAAGCAAAATTATGGCTGATTATTTATTTCCGGGGGCGAGATCGATACAATAAAGCCCAAAAAATAAAAGGCTATATTTCAGGAACGACAAATGATATTGAGTTGAAAATTTCAGAATATGCATATCTCAACTATCATAATCACAAAATCAAATTTCACCAAAATCTAAAAACATGAGGTAAAATTCTATCTTCTGCTGGGTTGACTTCGCATGGAATGACCCAAAACTTGAAGCTTTTGGGGCCTCAAAAATGAATGTCTAGATTCATAAATTTAAACAGATGTGAGAATTTCTAAAATTAAATTTAGAGCTATGTATGGAACCCCTTTCTATTAGCCAAAGTTCACACTCCACTTCAACTGAAAATAACAGGGTTGTGCATTATAGCAACAGAAAAAAAACCAAAGTGACAAAAACGTTTTAAATCAAAAATAAATTGCGAAGGGAAAAGGAGGGAAGGAGTCATCACTACCACCTAGTTGCATTCAGAAGTAAGAAAGGGCAGTCCCGGCGAGAGGCAGCTCGGCCCAGGGGTGATTCACAAAACTGGACACCCTTAAGAAAATATCTGTGGCCACACCATTCACTCTTACAGAGAACATGGGAAACGCCCTTTTAGCTATAAGTGTTGCACAAGTTTTAACAAGAATGTGGAAAAACATTTTACATGAATCAAGGACATGTGGTCTTTTCTTTGCAATAAACTTGCAGATGTTGATTCCATATAAGTAGCTGAAATAGTAGCTTTTTTGCATTTCAAATAGATCTTGCCAGTTTATTATGGCCCTCATTGGAGCATGGGCCCCAGACATTTTGCCCCTCCTAACCCACCTCTTGATGCCTCTGAGAAAGGGAATAGGTTAAGTACCCCTTGAATATTGTAAGGGAAATCAGCTTCAATCAAGCAAAAACGATATACATTTGTAGATAGGAAACTCTTCACCCAGAATCCCAGGAGGGACATTCAAGGGAGTTAATTCTGATACCATATTCTCCCTTGTACTCCTGCTGTGGGTTCATTGTTTAAACCTCCTAATTTGAACAATTTTTTTGCAGTACAGAACTTGATTATAGCTTTCAAAAAAGCAAACATTTTACGTCATACTAAAAGCTTTTCATCTGACACTCCAAAGAGCATAAAACGTCAGAATCAGGGTCTGAAAGAACACAATGAAAAATATATACCCAGTTGTGGATCGAAATAGGCCAATCAGAAGTATGCAAGCACAAGACCAGTATAGTTGACCAATCAGTGCTGCGTGACTAAAGAAAAATTACCACTGGAGACCAAGAGAGAAAACGAATTCCTTCTGTCTACACAACGGCAGCTTTTTAGTTTGTATGTAGATCAACTCCAAAACTGCTAGATGGAAGGACGACCGGGCTCTGCCAATTATCCGAAACATGTCGTCATTATAGAGTTTTGCACAATCTGGGTTGTCTAAAAGATGTTGACCGATGGCAGAATAACTTGATTTAACAGTGTTTCTACACCTACAAGATCGAGGAGGCTGTTTTCTTTGAGGAGCAGTTTTGTTTCTTATGTTGCTGCCACTGATGGTAGTGGTAGGCAAGGATATATTTCTAACTCTTGATCATGAAATTCCCTCTGAGTTGTAAAATTGATGTAAACAGGAAAAGTGTATACAAAAATGCACACACTCAAAAATCATTGATGGATTTGGTGCACACTCAAACGTGCACACTATTACAAATCCACTCTTGCACTTTGGTGTAATAGCTTGTGCACTGACCGATATCTCGTCAAAAACTGCCATGAAATCAGAGTATATAAGAGCACCTCGTTTGAATGGGTAGGGTGGAAAGGGGGATGGATTGTTGGGAGCAGGTGTGGGTGCCTATTCTATGTATGAAGGCATTAAGATGGAATGGGCGAAGATAAGCAGATCTGGGCATGGCTATTGAAGGGACCGGAAGGGGACAAGAAACAGTTTGATGACTTATTAGAATGTAAACAGCTGCATTTTCATTCTTCTTATTATTTTGCGCGTATATAAATATTGCTATGTATAAGATAAATAAATTGCAGTCAAATTAGGTTTTCATACCTATTTCCTATGTTCTATATCTTTTGATAAATCGTCGAGCAATTTTTTAACACGAGCTCGGGGTAAAAAACTAGGAGACATTAGATTGAAGTAATTTTTGTAGAGGAAACAGAGACAGACAAAGAAGAGGAGCAACGTCTCTACACACTTACCTGTAACTGTTCCGCGATGGTTTGTGTTTCATTGAGCGATCGTAGCACATTGTTTGCCCCCCTTTTCCAATAAACACTTCCATGCTGCTGTCCAGTTCCCGAAACACCTTTGACTTGGCAAAATTCGAAATTATCCTGTGACAGTTTCGACAATATCACATCAACAGCTTTAACCCATAACAAAACCGGGCATGTCGCTTCCAGGTCATTTTGGTGTACACCTCCGTGTGTATCAAACTCAGGCAGATCTTTATCAAAATTAACAACACATTCTTTTATGACAACTAAGTCATCATTTATAACTAACGCTTTTAGAGTTTGGGTACTCAAGTCAAAAGAAAGATACCAGCTATCCGCCATTTTCGAAACACGAGATCGCAAAAGCCTCGTTCAGGAGAGAGATTATTAATTTCAAAATAAAATATATTTTACCGTAAATTCTCTTTTAAGCCTCCCTCTCAATTAAGCTCCCCTCTCTTATTAGCCCTCATTTTCAAAAGGGAAAACTTAATTAGCCCCCCTCTCAATTTACCCCCTCCCCTAAAATTTTCACTGTCGCTGAAATAAGTAAACTTGACAAAAAACAGAGATTTTCTTTTTATTCATGGGTCGTTCAATACTTCGCATCAAATCAAAATTCACACCATGTCTTTTCCAGTCACGACAGATCCGAAGACAAAAATTTAATGTACATTGAGCATTGACCATTTGAGAACCTTTTACCAAAATTACAGGCCGTTGGTACTCCGAGGGATGAAATTGACCTGTTCGAATGCTCGATTTCAGAAGGCGACATGGCACAAGATACCCAGGGTACCAGACTCACTATATATAAAATAATAATATAAAAAAAATTCTATTTTATTTTATATATAGTGAGTCTGGTACCCAGGGTAGGCCCAAGAAGATATTTCAGAATAATTGTTGACGATGACGATGACAATATTATTGATATAGAAGGCTGATTTGATGTTTTTTATTTGGCAAATAACAAAAAACTAGTTTTATCACTAAACATTGTTTTTATTACAAAATATTTAGTAAGCCCCTCTCTCAATTTAGTCCCCCTCTCTTATACGCCCCCCTTAAAGTGCTGAAAAGCAATAACGCTTTCCTATCTCTCACGTTACTTTCAATCCACATCTGAATATACACTTTCTGCTTACCTTTGGGCATTACTCGACGTTTAAATTCTGTAGGGTGTGTCGGACGAAAAGTATTTAAGTTTCCGTTCTTCCGTGCTATTTTCTAATATAGAAGAATGGATAATTATTTTATATCCTACTCCCCCTATGTCTTGAAATTTGTTATCTAAATAAATAATTTACCATAATAGGTAAATTATCTGCTTGGCTGCTTTATTACAGATTTTATTGATATTAAGGTCAAACTAAAGATTCCATCAATCTCAGCACAAAGTAACATGGCCAGGCACCGCGCAGCCATTGGGCTAGCAAGCGCTATAGCCCCCCCCCCCCATTTTTTTGCAAAAATAGGTTAGAATTTTTTAGAAAGTTTACTTTAACACAACTTTCGAAAGCTTACTCTATCGGATCCCAAGTAGTAGTAGCAGTTTGTTATGACTAGGAACCAATTTTTGTTCATTTTCTTGGTGTCTTATCTTGTTAAATCTATCTTTATAATACTTGTTATCTTCTCTGAAATAGACTGTTTATAAAAAATTAGTGGAAAGAAGCATGTATTTTTTTAAGGGGCGTTTTCCGGCGTTTTAAAGGGCGTAACCTCAAAATATCCTCGGCCACGCCTTTTTCAGCCCACCCACTTTTAGAATGGTGCACGATGCCTGAACATGGCTACCTACTATTATTGTGAACTAACTGTTTATTACAAATTTCTCTGTTACCCCAATCTCCAAATGTAACAGCTTGGAAGGGATTTGCAGTCATTTATTCAATTTAAACGATTCAAGGAATTTATTGGTGTTGACCTTGACAAGCATTAATTTTCATCGCAATTTGTTGTTGTGACAGATGTATTAGCATCAGCAAAACTGCTTAGTGACCATTAGTAAGATATTGAAAATATCATTTACCGAAATATAAAAGGGCAGATGACTTTGTGGTACTCCAAGACAGTCACAAGTAACAAAATATTGCAAAAATTCAGTTTACTTTACTTTTCTTCTTATCTTTTTTATCTTAAAACTGAACTTCTACAATTGACATTTCAATCATTTTCCCGTCCCCGTCCCCCATCCTTGAAATCCGTCCCTGTTCTGTTTACTTGATTTTGACAAGTCCAGTTTGCGTAGGCGGATCAACAAGAACTCAACACATTAAGAAATTTCAAATCCATAAAAATAGTACCAATATATTTATTCCTTTTTGAATCTATTTCTCAGTCCTCGATGAGTTTAAAATAAGCATGCAGGGGAGGGGGAGCGTTTTCTTTATGTACATACTCATTTGCGAATTTATTTTCAATAACGGGCGAGAGTTGAAATTCTTCTTCTTTTTTCAAAACCTTCCGAAAATGCTATTAGTTGACTTAAGGGCCTATCGGTAATGGTATTTTTAACAAGTTAGGATTCATACCTTTAAGAACTTTGCAATTACCGCATCATATCTTTTTGCATTTTAATGATCTGGATTAAAAATAATACAAAACCCATAGTTGTTTATAAAAATGTTATGCCATCTTAATAAAAATTTTCCGCAACGTAAAAGGTTTGCTTACGCCATTGCGCCAAGAAAAAGCAGCTTTTTACGCCAGTTTTTTGTTACTCAACGCCGGGCATATTCCGGCATGACGACACGGTTAAATCTGGTTCGTCAGTTTTTCTTTGCAATATCTTTACAAAATTCTGAAATGTTTACTTAATAGAAACTTTTGAAGTGGAAACGGAAAAGTTATTGGTTAATCCGACAATTGCGTCATGTTCATAAGAGAAATAAGATTTTGTTCGCGTTAATCGCTTTGTTCGCGCAGCGTAAATTGCTTCGAGCCTTTAGTTGCGGCGTTCGCAAAACTCGCGTTAATCTTGAAAATCGCGCAGTTAAAACTTGTCTTAGAAGACAAAAGCCTATGCACCTGCTACGATGAGCAAACGTAATCGCGAGTAGAGCCTTGGGCAACAGTAAATAAAAAACGATCACATGTAGGTTCACTTGACCTGCCGTAAGCATTATATCGGCTCGATGTGATGAAATTACACACCAAAAGTTAGCAAGTAAAAGGTACCATGATGCCTTAAATACAAGTCACCATTTTGAAAGTGCATACATAAGGAGAGCGGGCTAAAAAATACAAAATGGGTGCAGCAGATAATGCTGTTTTTAAATGGGGAGAGAAAAATTCAAACACCCTGCTCAATTTACAGAAGCAAATGCATACAAAACAATTCGGATAAATATTAGGCCTAGATCAGCCCTTTAATGTTCGTTATTAATATCTAGCCATATATTATCCACTCTTTTTGTCTTGATCTATCCATGCATCATCATAGTGTCTTGCATTTTCAAAAAAAAACGTTCGCGTTCTACCTTCCTTCTGCTCTGCTGTAATAGTTAGGATAAGCTGACATAGGCTGTGATGACTGCTTGGGGTAATCTGACCCCGCATACGCAGGTGCGCTTTGCTGTCCAGTTGCGGACGAACTGTAACTAGCCTCTTCTCTGTATTCAACATTACTCGCAGATGATCTAAAACTTGAATATCCTTGGTAGCCGGAGGTTTCAGCAGAAGATGGTACACCATAACTATAGGGTTCTGGTTTGGAAGGATTGAAATAACCTTGATCTGGCACGGGACCGCGTTCTTTCTTTGCAGGTACATCTTTTGGAGGCTCTGAGCTGTTGGGTGGTAGCGTAGAATGAGGTGCCGGAGCTCGGTCTTCTACACTAGACATAGAGTGTTTGCCTGGTGGATTGATGGTATCAGAAAAATGAGCAACTATGAAGAGCCAAGTCAAAAATATGATTCAACAACAAGAAATAAAACAAAAATATTGTGGGGATGGATTCTTAGTCCCTATAGCGTATCGCTAGGCCGGGCTTCCATAGCGTCATAACAGATGGTGAAGCATTCGTCTCAGTGCATCGTTCACACAGCATGAACACAGATCGAATGGGTTTAAATAATTCCAATCTTCGTATAGAACCTGCTGCATGCTAGCCGTTTTCCTGTTGCAGTCACGGCATAGGGAAAGGAGAGAGGCTTTTCCATGGGAAGTTGGGTACTGGCAACACGCACCATTTCAGGTCAAGTCAGTGACAAACAGCAAATTTAAGAAGTTAAAATTGATGAGGTAGGGTAGTCGTACATAAGCCGAGAGAAATATACATCAAATGAATCGGAGTGGAAAAATCAACGAAGCTCAGCTTTCTTTTTAGAAATTCCAAGATGCAAAAAAACGATAAAGACACCAGAATGGACTACACATTCAAACATAATGCATTTATTTTGGACTCAATGTGCTGATTGGTCAAAATCAGCACTGACGTAACGTAACGTAACGTAAAAAAAAGGACATTTTTTTAAACTACTTTGCCAGGTATATTCTTTATGCTTTCTAAGATATCCTACTGAATAAAAAAGATAAAGACATTCTAAAATCTTCACCAAACACCGGCTTTTTTGTAACATCATGCTTACACGATAGGCAAAAGCCATCCTTTGTCCGCAGCCCGCGTTGTCCGGTAGTAAATCTTCGCTTGAATCAAGATATAAAAAGGGTAAAGACAAACAAAAACTTACCATCAGCGCTGTCAAGTTCATTCTTATATCTGATTAAGGCTTCAATTAAATGATTAATCTCGACAATTTTCAAGTGAGTTCCAACAACGGCCATGTTCAAAAGGCCATGAATATAGGAATCCTGGGTCAAAATCGTTTTATCTGTAGCCTCGTTTCGACTAGGAAACGGTGCAGGAGGTTGCCAAGAAGAACCTGGTCGCCGATCTTTCCAGTCGCCCATATACTGATTAAAATTTCTTGCAACAAAAGACAACGCGTCGTCGAGAGGCATATTTCTATGTTCTGAAGAAATGGAAAAAGTTCTGATTTAGTGAAAGCAGTGTACACACGAAATAAAAATGAACCAGCCAAAAAATTTTCTTAGCAAATTCACATCACGATCATTCAGAGAAATATCTAACCGAAATCCATTTTCTTTTACTGGCAATAAAAGTGTCTCGTAATCCGCACTTGCGAGAAATTCAAAAATTTTAAAAAATCGTGTAGAGTGTTGAAACAAAATGTTGAAAAGGCAATTTGCGGACGAAAAATTGTAATTCTGTCGTAACGCCTCGAAAAATTGGTGATGCTTGCGAAAAATTCGAAAATGTTCAAAAATCGTACAAAATGTTGAAAAAGGTAAGATACGGACCAAAAATTAAATTTCTTTCGCAACATCGCGAAAAATTTGTGTTGCTTGCTAGAGATTAAAAGATTGTCAAAAATCGTACAAAATGTCGAAAAAGGCAGGATACCGACGAAAAACTGAAATTCTGCCGTAATATCTCGAAAAAGTTGTTAGGCTTGTGAGAAATTCAAAAATTTTAAAAAATCGTACAAAATCTCAAAAATTTAAAATTCGGACGAAAAATGAAATTTTGTTGTAAAATCTCGAAAAAGAGTGATTCTACCGAAAAACTCCAAAAAGCTTACGGAAAATTCATAGCAAAGGGCGTTGAAAGAAATTGGCAAAAAGAAAAAAACCGTTCTTTCAAGCAAAACTGCTGAAAAATGCATGGCGCCAAAAAGCCATAGAAAGAAAAATCGTGGCAAAATCTCTCCACGCTTGATGGAAACGAAAAGCGATTCATAGCACCTAAATCAGGCCTTTCACAAAATCACAGGGGCTGTCAACTTCCAAATGGTGAATAAAGATACCTTGTGGTGCACCATATAGTATATTGAGGGTACAAGATTTATGGTACATATTTTGACTGGTAATGACGACTGCATACAATGTTCCACTTCTTGAAATGCGGTCGATGATCTCCAAAACGGAGACATCTGCAGGAGGAAACATGACGCTGGCAGATATTCCAATTGCAGTTAGACGAGATTGGATAGTGTCTGCATAATTCCTGGAAGCGTTAAAGACCAAAAAAATATGTTAAAACAGCAAAAACAATGATTGATATCATGAAGAATCTAAAATGCGAAGATAAAATAGTTTGTCATTCAGTACCCCGTAAGCAAAACAAGAATCCATTCAAAATCAAATGAAAAGCTGGAGAACATATGTCACAACTGAGGAATACACTGTTTGCAATGCTTTAATTACGAGATATCGATGAAACTTTTTCAAGTTATGGTAATTTTTGACATCTAAGATGAAAGCAGCAAATAAGGAAAGGTGTCTGGACATTCCAGTTTCTAGTTTGCCAATATCTGTATAATTAAAACTTTGCGAAAGACAGCATAGCGGTCAAATCTTTGATTGGCTGAGAGCTCTGTTCGCTGCCATGTTCTAAGCCAATCAGCACACAGGATTTTCACAACAAAACCGCCTCGCAGCTAGAATTAGGCCCATTTTCGCCATTTCAGCGTGTTTTTACCACATTGTCTACAAAAAACATTGCATGCCTCTACAAAGCGAATTTTCACTTTATATTTTGTCCAGTTCATCATCATGCGTTGCTATTTAACCTATATTGGCGCCACTGTTCGATCGCAAAGAATAATATAAAAAAACACCTCGCAAATGATCGGTAAATTTCGTGTCGAGATTCAGGTTAATTAGGTTTTTACCTCTCCCCACCCAAAACGCTATAGACATTTCACATTTAGACAAAATCAATTATATACTTACCTTAAATATAGGAATGGTTCATAATCCCGTCAAAGATGCACTCACTGTTCAGCCTTAGATTCGGCGGGGATCGCCAATTTAATTATCACAACGGTACGAAGGCTCTCATATTCACCCTCGAAATCAATAAATGTATCTTTGTCCTCTGGAATCAAAATCTGCTTCATAAAAGTGAAAAATTTTCAGCAACAGCCCAAAGTAATTTCAATCATGATTGTCCAGACAATTGACCATTATTACTAATTTTATGTGATGAAAATGGCGAATACACTCACGCGGTAAGACTGGGATCTAATAAAATTTGAAAACGGCGGGAAAATCAATTTAGAAAAATTGACGAAAACGCATCCTTGAAATTTTCCCGCCGTTTCCAAATTTTATTAGATCCCAGTCTTACCGCGTGAGTGTATTCGCCATTTTCATCACATAAAATTAGTAATAATGGTCAATTGTCTGGACAATCATGATTGAAATTACTTTGGGCTGTTGCTGAAAATTTTTCACTTTTATGAAGCAGATTTTGATTCCAGAGGACAAAGATACATTTATTGATTTCGAGGGTGAATATGAGAGCCTTCGTACCGTTGTGATAATTAAATTGGCGATCCCCGCCGAATCTAAGGCTGAACAGTGAGTGCATCTTTGACGGGATTATGAACCATTCCTATATTTAAGGTAAGTATATAATTGATTTTGTCTAAATGTGAAATGTCTATAGCGTTTTGGGTGGGGAGAGGTAAAAACCTAATTAACCTGAATCTCGACACGAAATTTACCGATCATTTGCGAGGTGTTTTTTTATATTATTCTTTGCGATCGAACAGTGGCGCCAATATAGGTTAAATAGCAACGCATGATGATGAACTGGACAAAATATAAAGTGGAAATTCGCTTTGTAGAGGCATGCAATGTTTTTTGTAGACAATGTGGTAAAAACACGCTGAAATGGCGAAAATGGGCCTAATTCAAGCTGCGAAGCGGTTTTGTTGTGAAAATCCTGTGTGCTGATTGGCTTAGAACATGGCAGCGAACAGAGCTCTCAGCCAATCAAAGATTTGACCGCTATGCTGCGAAAGACATTTTATACAGTTATTAAAACCTTCCTATTAACCAAAAAACTTATACTGCCTTGTCTTAAGATTATGGTGCAGGTATAGATATGTGTGAAAGAAAAAGAGGCTACTCACTTTAAATCACCTGACGTCGCAATAATCTCACAATCTGCAGTCTTAGGTGGCGGAGCATGGTGCGGGAATCTTCCATAGGCCTCTGGTGGTCGTGCATAGGGATCTCGGCTGTCATAAAAATCATCAACCCTTCTGGCATCATAATGATCTCTGGAATGCAGCCTGTCACTTCTGTCAATTATATGAAAACGCTAATGACAAAAATAATAATCTATTTTTCGTTCAAAGGTATTTGAGTTAAAATATGGTCGCAAAATGACCTACGTACAACTGTATGTACATACGTGTTTGCAACTTTTGAGCTCAAAATGAAAATAAACCATAAAAACATGTGTATTATTATACCGATGATATCAAGGACTAAAACTTCAATATGCACCATGATGTTGATACACAAAAGTATATAAAAATACAAAAATATCCATTTCAACCACACAAGAATAAGTAGGGTATTGGATAAGCTGGAAATGAAAATAACCAGAAATCGAAGTGAAACAAGTTTGAGAAGGCTGAAAAACTAACCTTGCTAGAGGATCATCTCTTCTGTAAAGCTCGTCATATCTTGACATAGGTGACCTTGATCTGAATCTTTCGCTCGACCTTGACCTGCTCCTTCGCCTAGAAGAACGCCCTGGGTGATCATCAGGTCTCCCTTTTGCACCCTTCCTGTCTTTACCTTGTGGCTTTCTTCTTTCACTAGCAATGTTAGCATCTAGAGGGCGCATATCACACAATTACAAAGAGAAGATATTTCTTGGATCACATACTCAAAACTTTGCTCTTTTATGTGAACATACAACAAATATATGAGCCTGTTTGAAAACTAGGTTATTCATAATGCTGGAAAAGGGAAGATCAAAATTCCTGGCCAAAAGCAGAAAAAACTTTGGTGTAAACACTGATGAATAAAAATGTTCACGGCAAGCTTTTGACAGATCAAGGCAAATAATTAAACTCACCAACACGTTTTCCGAAAATAGTTTTCCCGTGGGATTCTGTGACTGCTTTATCAGCGTCTTCTTTATTTGCATACTGAATAAATCCAAAATTCACGTGTAACGAGCAGCCAACCACTTTGCCAAACTGAGAAAAATGCTTCACAAGATCATCTTGGTCAACATTGTCAGTATTGAGGTTGCCAATGAAAACTCTGCACCTGACAGATTCTGGATCAGTACTGTTTGTGTCTCGACTTGCAGCTGCAGAACGGGAGCTTCTATCAGATTTGTTAGATGGAGAAGTAGATCTTGATTTATCCTTGCTTCTGCTTCTGTGAGGTGACCTGCCTCTTCCACTACCATTTTCTGAAGATTCGCTTTTAGCATGACTTGAGTCTGTTGCTTTATTATCAGAACTAGATGAACGTGCTTGATTCTCAGCTGCCATACTTGAAAAAATTGCATGATTGGTCAAAAAAAGCATTTAGCTAAAATTCTTGATGCAAAAAGATTCATGATATGGTATAAAACTAATCAGCAATTCCATATATAACTAATGGAACATTTGCAAAGTTGATTGCTGATTTTTTATTGCTGATTTGCTAAAGAAGCCAATCAGTTATTAATATTAGCATGGCATGTAGAGCCTTAAAGTACCTTAACGTTGGTGTGCATTTAAGCCTGGTTTTCATTAGAGTCATAAGGGTCGTATGAATCATAAGAAACATAATTTCTAAGCCTGTGTCGCTTATGTTTTTCAAAATCTAAATGAAAACGCAACCATAACAATGTCTTAAGAATAAAAAGCCTTTATTTTCGTAAGGTCATAAGCGTGATAAGTATCGTTACGATTTGAAGGGCGCCCTTTCCCTGCGATGTCTCTGCAAGGATTCTACATGGCTGCTACGGATCTAAGAATCAAAATGACAATTACATTGCTATTGTAAAGGTGACAAAGCCTGCATCTTGTGCGTTTGAAGGGGATTATTGCTAACAACGTCGTTGAGCTGGATGACTTTAAGACAAACGCTGGGAAAGATGAGCATAGAAAAAAAGCCTGTGAACAAAGGAAACATTGATGGATGAATTACAGGGACAAAGTTCTCATCAATGACACTAGAGTTATTGCAAATGCAAAGAAGTTCATTGCAAAAAATTGGAAAAAATTTGTTTATAAAAAATTTATCCTGAAAAACACGATAAAAAACCATACAATGCTAATTATGACTTACAGTAGGTGACGATAGAAACTATAGTGTGGAAAGTATTAATATTATTTTGGATAGATTCACTGTTCAACTTTCTGAATCCAGATTGAGTACATACAAAAGGTTTTTTGCTAAAAGGAAACATTAGTTCTTCTTGGATCACAATGAACAGGGCTTTTCCTTCCAGACAACAAAAGACAGCGCTTTTCAAAGAAGCTAAAAATGCTATTGTGGCTTGTTATAAGTTTTAAGGGACTTAATTAGTTAATGAATATTCAATAAATTGAATTCAATATTCAATGAATATTAAGTTAATGAAGGGTCATTCAATTAAATATATGATATGCCTTGAGGAAGCGGAATCTAAAACATCTCTTAAGTCCAATGACCGTGACATTAATACTTGGAACTCAAAATATTGCAACAGTCTTTTGACATACTACAAGGTTGGTAATAAAGTGGCTTACCCTCTATCAGACTTGAATATTAATTATTTTAAACAATACTGCATTTATTTCTGACATTTTTCTTGTCTTCTAAACCATTTAAAGTCGATGAAAAATCAAGGCAGATGGTTCACAGCTCACCTGCAAAAATACAAACAACCAGGCCCGCTTCTTATATGCTCTATCAATTTTATATAATCTATCAACACCTCTTAAAATCCCTAGAACATCTTTTGTTTTGACATTTCTTGCCATCACTGACCAAAGGACAGAACTTTTGTGTGTACTGTTTTTACCCATGGCAGCCCTAAGCTTTAGGCACAAGAAGTACCGACATGGAGAGACTTGATCACTTCCTCGTGCTGATGTAAGAGAACAATAGGTTGTTGGATCCAGTCTTTTTTAGATCAGTGGCTTCATCAGAGAGGTATAAAGCTGTGTAGTGTTAACACAATTTAAACATTATATAAATATAAACTAATTACATACATTTCATTTCTAAACTACTATCTTCTTTCATTATACTATACAATATTTTGTAAATATGTCACTGTACCTATGACCATAAAAAGTACTGTCAAGGATTCGAGGAAAGGGGAAAGCAAAGCCACTGGGTTCTGTCATTGTTTAATTCCATAAAGAACACCATATTTCTAGGCTGTTACCCAGAGTAAAGTTTTGCAGTCACTTCTTTAAAAGCCAGATTATATTCTTTTATTACAAATAGAGTAAGTTGTTCTGGAAACAAGAACAGATCTGTTAGATTTGTGCAAGTATGGTCTAGCAATCTTTCTACTTAAATTCATATGGAGGCTTGTTACAGAGTCATTGTCCATCCTTATGATCTTGATGAGTAAAGCAGTTCAACCAGATATGTCGGGCCAAATTGACTTTTCAAATGCTTTGTAAAATAGTTTAGCAAATGCTTGATACTCATGGTTACAAGTAACTCATATTTAGCAAATGCTTGATACTCATGGTTACTAAGGGCCATAGGCACTCCAATATGCTTTTCATTATGTTTGCTTTGGGTTCAATATCCTTGTTGAAAGCGTCAAAAATGGTTCCAATTCTGATTCTGCGTAGCTTTGAAAAGAATCGTGAATTTTTGTTATCTTTAGCATCATTTGTGTCATCATCTAAGTATTACTACCAGTTGTCAAACTAGAATCTTCCCTAGGACTGTAATTTCTGCATCATCTGATATGGTTCGGTGATTAGTATTGCTTTTGTAGGAATTGAGAGAGTCCATAATTTATTTTGATGTAGCAAAAGGTTTACAGTTTCGATTTGCATGATAATTGTGCTTTGAAATCTTTCGCTCCTCTGATTTTTATTCCACTCCAAAAATAGCATTGTGGACCTTCTTCTACCTACATAATTTGCGCCATCAATGCAACCTTTCCCTATCCAGTATCTTATCAGTATAAGGTCAGTTTGGGAAATCTCCAAATCCATCAAAGAGACCAGACAATAAGCATTTATATATTTAATACCCCACAGCTGTGTGTGTAGACTTTGCTGGAGTCCATACTTGGCTAATGATAGATAAATCCAATTAGGTATCTCTGGATCTTGCTTTGCAACGGAATATAATTGTGAGTTGAAAATTTTTTTTAAGGAAGGCCTTGCCTCACCAACGCCATTGCATTTTTCTCACCAAGGAAGGCTGCTGAATAACAACATTCCATCAGCCTTTTCTCAGGGCACAAAGCAATAATGCTCCAGTGCCCAGGCAAGTCTTTTCTCATTTGGTGAAATGGAAAAAAGACAATTGTTGCACTCAGAATTTGTTGGTATTCCTTGATAGAACTTGATAAAATGTCTGTCGAGAATGTGATAAATTTCGAGAATGGCTGTCAAAACCTGTGATGGCATCACTTCAATGTCAAATTTTCCAAAACATTTATAAGCTAGCTGTTATAAGAATGTAAAGAAAACATTCCTATGAAAATTTTCATTACAAGTTATGGTTTGTTGATATGATTCAACGAGAGATTAAATTAATTGGGGCTATTCTCAAATCCTAAAAGAATTCTTTCAATGTTTATCTGTGGGAAAAGTGTTAACAATTTTGCTCAACACCAAAATAATTCAGCAATACCCCCAGAATGCATGCCAAGTACAATGATTTTAGATAGCACATCACGTTTCTCCACTGTGTGCTTTTCTGCATGCCTAAATTTGAGTTGTTCTATAAGGGGCAATGGCCTGAGTTTTTCATGAAAAAAATTGGCCTGTAGCAATGTTTCTCGTGTAAAAGAACCTTATAAGACTGTCTTTACTCAAGCATGTAGATTATACAACAAAGAATATGTTTGTAGTACGTTGATTTTATTAGGAAGTACCAAAAAGAAAAGGCTGAGGACAACAATTTTTACTGAAATCGTTCCAAAAGGGGCAACATGACTCTATTTATCAAATGTCTAGTTAACGTGAAAATTTTGTGGTGTAAAAAAAATTTCGATGTTTTGGCTCACTTGTCGAAGCATAGCACCTCTAATTATAAACAAGATATGAATCAACAGAGAATCTAGCCAAGTTTCCAAGTATGAAATATCTTGTTATTATCTTTTTAAAGTTTTCTTAAAATTTGCCTATTCAGATCATGCCATACAACTGTTTGCAATTCTACTAATACAATTTCAGGCAAAAAAAGGAGCAAAATTTATAAGGAATTAGTAGTCTGAAAAATTCACCCCTGAGTTCATCAAATTATATGTAATCCGACTATTCGGACATCACAAAAGAGGTCTTAAATAGATGAATAAAATACTTACACGGAGTAAGAGTAATTGATATGAATACTTTGCAGAAATAACTGTTATAAACTGAGCGTTGTTTTAAGACTGAGCAGTTGCAATCCTCGTAAATTGGAATAAATATGGCCTACTTCAAAGCAAGGGAATGACATGGGCATCTCCGCGCAGGCCTATCCACGCATCCACAAGCCTCGTTCACAAATTAGAACTTCGATTGGTAGGACAATTTTTGGTACCGTTATAAAAATATCTTTTTGATATTTATGGGTTCAACCAAGGCATAACCAAACAAAGACATTAATAATTATTTTTCATCGGTTGCCACAATATTTTCCATCAGTAAATATTTTCTATCAGTTGCTACCTGAAATGATTTAGGAAGATCTGATATCATGAAATTGATGTCGTTAAACTGGTTATTTTGCATAACAGTCTCAGCTACCATCATTAGTACTTCCTTATGTACTCAGCGACAAGATTCTGTGTTATGATATTTTAAGTCTCATCGAATGTTTTCATTTTATAATTCAAGGTCACCTTGAATAATGGTGGATGAACCTCTCGCTCCGTCTATAGAAAGTTCCAGTGCAGTGCTGTCTTGTTAACAATAGCAACATTTTTCAAACTATCAAGAGTATATTTAGTTTAAGAACACGTTCCGGACTAATTTTTGGATGTGCACTCACAACTGACAGCTCACAGTCACGGCACAACAAATAATATGTACTGCTTAGCATTGTAAAAAAGTCAAATGCCTGACATGATTACGGTAGCCTCGGGATTGTAGTTTTATGTGGGAATGTGGGAGCAAAATGTGTTGAAAGTTGCAGATTAGTGATTTTCCAAGCGAAATTGCTATAAGCTACAATAGCTATAAGCTACTGAAGCATAATGGGTTGAATGAAGGTCTAGGACCAACTTGGGAGCGTTGTAGAATTTCACATGTATCGTAGAGGATGCCAAAACTGACTTTGGAAAAGACACCATTTTCAGGAAAGTGGAGAAAATAACTCTTTTTTATCAAGCATTTCCTTTTGCCTTCCTGACAAAGGTTATTTTTCACACTGATGCAAGTGTCCTTAATCGTTTATTAGCAGACTAATTTACAGTTTGCTCAATCAAGCGGATCTATAAATGAACAAAAAATTTAAAAGAATTGTGTAGAGCGGAAGTGAATGTCGGACAAATGACTAGTTTACGCGTGATGCTCCCTCGCTTCTCCACACCTATCTTCTATTTCCGCTCTCGAATTCATGTGGCTCTAGTACCCAGAGTGATGACTATTTGCACAATACCAAGAATGATCTATTAGAGTTGCATTTTAAACTAAGGAAAAAGAAGAGCTAAAAACGCTTTTTGGTCTCAGTATTTGCTAACTGAACCATGGATGACCTGGTCGCTAATAACCATACCAATAACTTCACCACCCTATTATGGAAAAATATCAATTCTTTAATTACATTGTAACGTAACATAACTTCTTTCTTTGATATGACAGCAATTCCGATAAAAACAAGGGACAAAAAATGGCGTTACTGAAGAAGTAACACATCCAAGAGCACCTTTGAATTCAATATCAGGAAAACAAAGCATTATAATTCGATAAAGAATCATTTCATTAACCTGTTCTTCTATCTGCAGCATAGACTTCAACTTTAAAGGAGACAACTATAAATCAAACTAATAACACATCTCTTCTACAAAAATTGCGACTACACTCTAATAAGCTTGCAAAATTCTGAATTAGAAAGTTTCAGAACACTCTTAAGTTACAAGTAATCATATGCATCCATGGTTGTTAAAATAAACAAACGACAAATTGAAAAATAGTTTGAATAAACGATATTTAACTTTCCAAAGTGCAATATAAAACAGATGCCGTTTGTGTTCAGTTAACTATGTAACCGACATGAAATATGCAAATTAGTATCAGCATACACAGCTACAAGAAAATGTTAAAACGGTTTATCCACAATTCTTACTGTTATTGTATGCATTTTACATATTGTATAGTTATCGAAGGAAGAATGTCATGTAAAAAAAGTCTTGTACTTGGCAATTCTTACTCGCCACTGTTAATTCAAGATAAAAGTACCAGCACATATTATTGCGTTACAAATTGTGGTTATATTTCGTTACAATGTTATGTTATACATAAAAAAGTAAACTATCACAAGTAAAACGTAAAATGGCCGTGATTTTTGGTCATACGAAACCATTTGTTGTATTGGCTTGAGATCCAGATTTGTTTCACATTTTAGCTCTCCCAAAATGAATTCTTTTGCCAAAAGGTTTTTCATCAGTTGAAGGATCCAGACTGGTTTGAAAAGATTTGACCAAACATTTTAGTTTATCTAAAGAAAATGCAAATTAGTAAACTTGCAGATAATTTGTAAATTGAAGTCCACAACCCTTTCATTCTTCTTAAAGCCTAACTATCGTTTCCCCTTTAACTTCTTGCAAGACCTATTGCAGATATAAGAAAATGCGAAATATTATAAGGTATCACTGATAAAATATTTTCTACCTCTATTCCGACAAAACTGTAAACAATATTTTTATTAATATTGTTAGCTATTATTAACAATGTTGCAAAACATTATAAGGTATCACTGATAAGGTTTTTTTCTACCTCTATTTTGACAGCACTGTTAACAGTATTCTTATTATTAATATTGTTAGCTATTGTTAACAATATTGCAAAACATGTTAAGGTATCACTGATAAGGTATTTTCTACCTCTATTCCGACAGAACTGTTAACAATATTCTTATTATTAATATTGTTAGCTATTGTTAACAATATTGCAAAACATTTTAAGGTATCACTGAAAACGTATTTTCTACCTCTATTCCGACAAAACTCGTGGCATTCTTCTCATTCTAATAAAAAGTAAACAAAATCAAATAGTAACCTAGTTTAAAGATATAAAAACAGAGACAATTACAAGTGTAATATACTTTAAAAGACTGTTTTTGTAAACGTCAGAAGAACTATTGTTAAGGTTTAAGCTAAGGACGGCTTCCGTAAAATTGTGATTTTCAACAAAATCTGCAATAACAATGTTGATGCCATCAACACCACGTCTGCACCTGTGCAGCCATCTAACCAAGCTCCTAGTAGCATCGTCTGAAGTCCATTTCTCCAGTGAACCACTTCCAAATAAGCCCGAAGCTGCTATGCTTAAAATGCTAGGCTGCATTATCCCTTGTGTGACGTAAAACGTTCTGCTCGTTGGCCTATGTTCATACCCATTTTCAATAAACTCTAGCCACGACTTTTGACTGGAAAATTTTCCTTTATCAAATGGAGATAAGAGGGACTTCTCAGTCATTACGAATTCCGGAACAATTCCCGAAAAATCCTCTTCAGGAGATCGGTAAAATACAATTATGTTCTTGCCATCGCTCCAGAGAGTTGATAATGACGCTTGTGTTGACTTGTTCGTAAAGATCTTTTCCCCAAATGTAGTCTTTAGTAAATTCGTTAACTTTTTGTTAGCCTTTCGGGAGAAATTGTACTCTTTTTCGAGGTGGTTAAAGTCTAGAAGCAAAACTTCTCGTGGATAATTATCCAGGAAATTAGCCATTTGCAAGAGTATTTCTTCAATTGGTGCTCCAATAAGTCCGTGGTATGTGTATCTATAAGAAAAGAAACAGATATGCTACTTCGAGTAGTGAACGGTTATAAGTTGCCTCTCCGAGCAATGAACAATTCTAAGTTCCTACTCCGATTTGCAAGCTTTATGCGATCATCCGATCGATTTATGTCATCATGAAGTGTTATGACAACTATGCTGATAATAGAACTAAGTGTGAAACTCGGAGCAGCAACAGATAGCCACTTTGTTCTTCACTCCATATTCGTGTACAGATATGCCTATACGGCATCTAGCACTTTGTGACAGACCATTCATTATATAAGCAAAGGTGTACCAAAATCTTATGAATAAAGTGACTAAGCAATTGCTTCTTGGGCGGAGAAATGAGAAACAGGCATGACAATCTTATGTTACAACATTATTTCGAAGTTCCGTAAGAAATCAGCCCTAAACATCTAAGAAAGATATCCATGCTTGAATCGTTACAATATTAAGTGGGAACAGGCCAGATTTAATCTGCACTGAATACTCACAGCCTATCTTCACCTTCTTTGTAAAATACTCTCAAATCGAAGTATCTTATGCCAAGTTCAAGTTGTTGTGTTATGTCAAGTCTTTGGGTAATTGACCAGCGGTAAATTTCACTTCTTAAATATTGTTCTGCGCCTTTATATCCTCTTGACAGATTCATCACATTCAAAACCTGGAAAATATTGTCACAGCCTTATCACGATATGAATAGTCTTGAATTTATGATCATCAATAAATGATGAAATGACAAAAACCAAGCAACTATGACAGATTTCAAGATTGTAAGAAACTATTTCTTGCGATTGTTAAAAGGCATTTCTGCAATACAAATATAATCATCAGTATGAAAAATATGCCTAATTGTATTAACAATCTCCGCATCCCAAAGTTGGACTGTTTTTTGACTTTGGTAAGACACAGTTAATTTGAAGAAGAAAATTCCTTTTAAAACAGTTGTTCGAAATTGGGCGGGTGTTTGATGGGAGAAGCGTTTCTTTCAAAACTCAAAATATATCTTAAAACCTTTCTTCCCAACTTCGTCGAAGCAGAAAACACAGAAAATTATAAAAAGCTTTACACCATAGACTTTTTGCTATAGTTTTGTCTTTCTGCACAAAAAATTCTGCACAACATTATCAAGATAAAATGCAATTGTTTCAATTCTCTTCTTTATGTTGCTCTTGTTAAATCGAATTCCCGCCTTTTCCCCGAATCAACGTTGGTTAAAAGTTCCTTCGCTTTTGCTTCAAAAACATAAATTTGACATTGAGCGGGGTGAGAGAGTAAAGTTAATTTGAAAGGAAAGAGAAACATCAACCTTTCTTGAAAACTCTTAACAACTTTTGTTTAGGATTGTAGTTCTATAGACATCCTTGTTCTCGTTTAACATTAAACTGTTCTGCTTATTGTTTACAGAACGTTACTGGTGTTGATCGACATATTTCTACACCGTATTGCTTTCTACACCGAGTTAAAAGGCTAGACCAAAGTTGAACGTTCTGGATGCAGAATCCGCTCGAGGAAAAGCATGTGGTTCAATTTGGGAGAGCACTGAGTTGTAAAGCCACATATATTGGGTACAATACTAATATTTAAATAGCATAACATAACATGGTATAGTTAATCTCTCTCTTTGAATGCTGCTTCTTTGCTTAGATGCTGCCTACCTTTTTGGGAATGTCTGGTGCAAGGTCGTTGGTGCTGTTTAACGAGTAGCTTGCTGAATCATGTGAGCCAGGTATTGCTATGCCTCTTAGAGGTAAGTTTACTAGTTCTTTGGGCAATCTTGCCATCCAATCTGCATTTCTTCCAATTGCTACAAAAAAATACATTATCTAAACTCATTAACAAGGAGTGGATATCCATTTTGTTCAAAAATGTGTGCCTCTTTCTTGGAAGAACTATGCTTGCAATTTCTTTATAGTTCTAGCTCTGGCCAGATATAAAAAAAGACAATATTTCGATTCAAGCAAACGTTGCCTTCCTCTATATCTATAATTTCTTTAAGACATAATTTGTTTGAGAGGCCTTTCAAAAAAGATGTTTTTCATGTTTTGACCACTTAGGACCTTATATCACCAATCCTTATTAGCTTTCTGCAAAAAGAAAACCCCCGAGAAAAAGATCACTTGAAGTTTGGACCCAACGATCATTATCATCAGCAAATCAATTTACACAACTTTCTATTTTACCGCCCTCCTCCCCTTCACATTCATTAGAAAACCCCAACTTTATTTATATACTGTTGATCAATACGTACAAAATTAACTGCAAATGACAATTTTTGATAAAGTTTTAGAGATTTGTTTATGTCCATGCGGGAATGCAGTTTTAATAATTACCTTGGCGTGACATTTGAATCTAATTGTAACTCTAATGATCATTTGATCCATTAAGACATTTTTAAGGCATATAACCTACATACTACATCATTAATCAGATCTTTATGCATTTATGTATGTAGGTTATATGTTTCTCTATAATATCAATATGATATCCCCACAATATCAATATCATTGTGCATCAAGCATGCAATAAAAATTAAGTATATCGGGGTAGGGTGGGGGGGGGCTGAGATGCTTAGCACCCAGTCATTCCCAAATGTACTAAGGACCCATACAGTGAGTTTTTTTTGTTTTGGTTTTGAACCTTGTTGCCCTTCCTCCAAATAGTTATATGCTCTCAAGTCCCTGAACATTATCAGATAAATAGTGGCCC